CCCGTTCCCTGTAGAGAACATGACGGCTCTTGACGCCACGCGGGTGCTCAGTGGAATCGCAAGTGTTCTCGGTGCAATTGGCGCAAGGCGCCGGAAAGCACTTGTAACGAGAGAGCTAGTGAAGATATTGATCCCGGGACTGATCCAAGCCCGAGTCGTGGGTGCTGCGGAAGTAGGTGTGCACCCTGCTGCGGGCCTAAGTGCGATCAGTGGAGGAGCCCTGGGTGGCTCCCCACTAGACCTAGGAGAAGGCGACGCAGAGAGCGGTATCATGGAGTTACTAGAAGATCTCTGTAGAGCCTATGGGGTGCTTCATACTGGGACAAGAGAAGACCCCCCTGTAGCAACTGATGAGGACGGTGCCGACGCTTTGAGAGCGGCTATGGCAACTGCGGATGTGATTGCAGAACAAGAAATAAGATCGTTTGGGTGGCCGGCGTTGAAGATTCATGTTCTACGGAATTGTACGGCGCTTTGCGAAGCCCTGCCAGATTTCCATGGAGTTTTGCGCTTCACGGCACAGCTGCTGCGGACTGCAGACAATGATCTTACGAAAGAGGAGCAAATGCGGCTTTCCACAACTATCTCACGAACAGTTGGTGCTGCGCGGAAGCTCGGGCTTCCAAATGTTGAAGCCGGATACTGGGATCAGTTCTTGCTGCGAGATGTGGAGGTTGTGGAGAATAGCATGTGGAGGCCTCCAATAGCGCATTCAAAAAACGAGCTGATGGATGCCGATGCCGATGCGCCGCCTTCAGCACCTATAGAGGTGGACAAGAACCCGTTTATCTACAACCCTTTCCTGAAGAAGGCCGAGGCTGCAACGGTGGATCAGGTACTTGTTACCGGGGAAGCGGCAGAGTTCAGAGTAACACTTCAGAACCCCTTCGAATTCGACATCGAGGTTGAAAATGTCGCTTTGGACACCACAGGCGTCGAGGTCGATGTACAGCCTGTGGGTGTTATCATAAACCCATTCAGGACGTATCAAATCGCTGTATATGCGACTCCCAAAGTCGGTGGAAGCATCAAGATCCTTGGATGTAAGATCAAGGTATTTGGGTGTGTCGAAAGGTCATTCCCGATCTTTACAGAAGGCCTAGATAATCGGGAACGCGATATCAAGACCAAGAGATATGGTTTGAAGGCCGCCGAACCGAAAAACACAAGACCCATCTCGGCGATCTCAGCTACCCAACGATCTTCAAGAGTTCCTGCTCCGCTACATCCCATTCCAAAAACACTCTCTTTAACGGTCGTTGACCCACAGCCGCTGCTGGTGGTCAAGTCTACAAGTCTTTCCCAAAGTGCGCTGATGGTTCTGGAGGGAGAAAGGAGGGTTTTTGATATCACATTCAACAATTTAAGTGCGACAGATGTGGACTTGTTGGTCTTTAGTTTTAGAGACTCAACTACAGGGAGGATCCAGCAGGCATTGAACGAGAAGGGGAACAGTCCGGCGGAGATGTACGAGTTGGAGCTGATGCTGGCCAAGAAGAGGGCATTTACTTGGCATAAGCGCGACAAGACACCGAGGAAGGTGCTGGAAATGGAAAGTTCCAGCGGGGAAATAATTGAGGTTGAGGATGGTGCAAGTAGTGATGGGGCTGCAGATGCAGAAGTCAAGGCCGAGGATGCAGACGTAGAAGCCAAAGCTGGGGATGCGGATGCCAAGCCTGAGGTCAATGGAAAAGTGGTAAAACAAAACCAAGAAAAGACAATATTTGTCCCTGGGTTTGGAAGGGCAACATTCGAGATCATGGTACTTGGAAAACCTGGCTTAACGCACGGAAGCGTTCAAGCAGATTATGGACATTTGGGGATGCACAGGAACGAGGTTACGGACAAGTTCTACACAAGACAGGTTGTTTTCCCTGTCACTGTCACTGTAAATGCAAGTATCGAACTCGCAAGAGTAGATTTCGTCCCATTCAGTACAGATCTCCAGTTCGAATCCATTCCTGGGGGCACTAAAGATGGTGATGAGCGAGAAAGGGCAGAAGGTGTGGGACAAGAAGGACAATTCAAAGAGCTCTTCAGGCGGATGGGGGTTAAAGATGACCCTGGCGAGTACTGTCTTATGTTGCTTGACCTAAGGAACGCCTGGCCGCAGGCATTGAAGATAAAGCTTTACGCCCGGGACTCACCTGCAACTGATGAAGACAGCGAAGAAAGCTGGAAGGGCGCTTTCTACGCCGAAGACGTGCTACAGGCAGGTCATACATCGCGCGTAATACTTCCGATCAAACGGATATTCTTGGCTGAGCCAACCGCAGCGATCCCATCCCTCTCGGCTAGCCAGCGACAATTTGTGGTCAGCACTGCCAAAGTTACCGCTGAACAGGAGAGGCAAACAAGAGAGGCATTTTGGTATAGGGAAGAAGTCTTGAAGTATATCCGGGGTACATGGGAGGAAGTGGGGACAACTAGAGTGGGTGATATTGAATTGAGGGGCATCAGGCTCAGCCAACGGATGGTGGAAACAATCAGAGTGGAGGATATTGGCATCAATATTGGTGTTAAGGAGTCAAATTCCGAGGATATGGTGGATGGAGTTGATCCAGTTATGCGCAGAATTGGACCATCGAAATACCTTGTCGCCACAGACGAATTCTTAACTCTTACAACAAAGTTAACGAACCGAACTAATCGAACCGTAAAGCCCCTTCTACGTCTACTTCCAGCGCTTCGAAACCAAGCCACAACGATTGCATTGGATCTCACTAGACGACTCGCGTTCAATGGGCTCTTGCAGCAGAGTCTGCCGGCCTTGAAACCACAGGAGGAATTCACTGTAGAAATGGGGTTTGTCGCGTTATGTAGAGGGGAGTTTGAGATCAGTGGGAGTGTAGAGGAGATCAGGACTGCAGAATCAAGCCCTGACGATCTCAAAGATGATGGGGAGCTAGGTCCGGATGGCATTCCAGTCGACCTTATTTCAAAGATGATAGGAAGGAAGACGTGGGTATCGAGAGAGATGTGTGTAATTGTCGCAAGAGATTTGGATTAGTTAGATCGCGCCTGTTGTTATTGTTGTTGTTAGTACATAGGACTTGTATTTATTTTTTTGATAGTGCCCGCTTGCAGTTGTAGATTGTGAGCTATGAAGAAGGGCTTTAGCGCTTGTGTTAGAGGTCGCCGATACCCTAAAGGTTTATTGCGGGGGGAGGATTGCAAAAGAAAAATAAGACCAGTCAATTATATTCAATACCATCACGGTCGTTTAACAAATCGTAGTCACCGGTTGGTGCAAAGAGCTGTACCTACATGATAAATTCGTCATTGGGCGTTTAAGAGTTCAGGGTACGGCTACCGCGCTAAATTATGCCGCTGCTGATGTGCTGGGCACTGTCTTGTGGAATTGCCCAAAAATAGACCCAAACCTCCAGCAATTTTAAATACCCCCAAGGCATGCAACAAGCCCAAGATACCGGGTATCAAGTCTCTTGAGCTGAAATCGACCCGATCCTCATAGCCGCTGCACCGTGCATTACATGGCGATATGGATACATATCGAGTGATTTGCTGTGATACTGCCCTCTCCAACCCTTCCAACGTACATGTAGCTAGCTTGATAGAGCATGGTGGATTATATGTACCATGAATTGCCAGAACTCTCTTACCACCTTGGCATGATAAGTAGAGTATGCAGTTCCAGCTGTTCGTTCCTCTTCTCATGATGGCCGGACTGGCTTTCCTTCCAACCACAGCTACATGTACGTACAAGTACCTACATGTAGTTATTATGTAGAGCCCCGCCACTCAACCCGGATCCACCTCGGTTCACATCAATCCGCAAGTTTACTGAGCCAACTACACTCGCTTCTGGGGTTCCCCGCGCCTCCAGGCTTAATTTCAATCTCAATTTTGAACCTGACCCAAATTCATGGGGGTTATCGAAAGTTTCAATCGTCTTGAGGCCTTGGTTTCCTTCCCATCGTCTCCTCGGTTCAATTGCGGCACAGTAACAAGAATTTTGGCCAATAAACGCTGCTTCGTTCATCAAATTGGACTAGGCCCCGTGAGTGTAAACGTTTTCCAAAAGCAGCTTCCTTTTTTTGATGCATGGAGAAATACTTTCCTTATAAGGGCTAGCAGATTCCGGGGATATCAGTATCAAGATTACAGCCGTAAAGAGAGATATGGAGCTCCACATGTCTGCTCAAATTAGAACTGTGATCAATTGTAAATGAGTTCTCCTGTAGCCATATATGCCTCAGGCTTTCGGACACTTTTCTACTCTGGTCTGTTCGCAGTGCGCATAGAGATGTGATGTACATATATGCCCTACTGCACCTCACCTTCGGCCCGTACCCGGTAGCATAAGATGATAAGTCTAGGCAAGTTTTCCGGGTTTCTCCCAAGGGCTGTCCATTCAATTCAAAGACGGGGGAATTGTCGTGAACTCTTGAGAAATGGCATCCCTCGGAGTTTCAGGATGGTGGCCGCCTATCTTGCCGCTTCCAAGAATGAAGGCAGTCAGGCCAGTTTTAACAAATTTTCGAAGCATGTCTAAGGCATGAAATAATAATATGATGGAAAGTGTTGAGGGCTAAGAAGCGGCGGGCTGCATCTTTTATTTGAAGATCGATATCGATATGTGATTGGTAATAGTATCTGCATTATAGCCTATCAGTTTTCCTACAGATATCGTCCAAAATCACTTGAGGCCATTCGGTAACCAATGGGATCGTGGCAGTACCAATAAAGAATGGTGATCGAGTGAATCTGGTTCAAACTGCATGCCAAAGGCGTCATTTAAGTTAAGTTTTTTGGACACATATCCGCCATGTGGCGTCGTTGAGCCATGCACCTGCATGTTCCCCGCTGATTCCCCGCTCTAAGTGATATGACCAGAGAAAATCATTGACAGTATATGCGTGACACCACATTTGTCGTTAAGTATAAGTTTCCAGGTGTGGTAGCATTCGATATTCATATCAGAGACTTTGGACATCTCCACCACGACCGGCGACGAATCGAGAACCATCGACCGAAAGATGGCATTGACGCATATAGTCCCCCTAATGGACACTCAATCTTTCTCAGAGGCTGAGCTGATTAAACATTTTACATATTCCTACATACCTCTTCGTCAGGTCCGGAGGGCTGCGAGTCGGCGACCCAATGGCCGCATTGCTACCGAGAGCATATGGCTAAGAATAATCGGACACCTCGATGACAGCGTGTGCCTCTACCAAAAGCAGAAGACCCTCCATTCCCTTTCTCTAACCTGTCGATTCTTCAACGAATTCGCTACAAGAGCTCTCTATCAAACCCTTGATCTGCAGTACCACGGAGAGCGGGATTCGGGGATATCTGAATGCACCTGCTCAACCCATAAAAAGCTGGCGATTGACTCGAATCGACCACGTAAACGGCACCCCCTCAGAAACAAACTCAATAGGCTCATTCGGAGTCTCCGTTCTCGACCCAATTTGCCCGGAAACGTTTTGCACTTGAAACTCCCGCATGAGTATCCCATTCCCAAGCTCATTGAGCAGCCATCCGATGGAGATGAACCAAATCCCATTACTGCGAAGTGGTTTGAGATATTCAGAATATGTTCTCCTGGACTGAACACTGTTGTGGGACTGGATGCTTTGTTGGAGGAATTTCTGGATCGTAGTAGCCTGAGGCTAGATATTGGTTACAAGTTGTGGGAAGCTCTGGAGAGGAATAAGAAGTGGCAAGAGTGGGATTTCACCAACTGGTCCCTAGCATATCTCCCTGGCCTCAATATTTTGGGGTTCCCGCCAGCAGAACCTCCAGAAGATTCTGGCTGGAGTATTGGAAGACTTCAGCAAACATTTGCGAGCTGGAAGAACCTTAAGCACGTTACTTTGAGAGAAACGGCTTGGTTGCAAGGTGCCCTTCACTCACTCCCGAGACTACAGTCGGTGACTATCAATGCGGACGCATTCACAAATTTCGATAATATCTTCCAGCATATTCCTGCAAAGAACCTACAGTCGTTATCATACAGCTGTGAGGAGCTGCACGCTGAGGATTTCCGCTCAAAGGGGCCTGATTACTTGAGTTCGGAGCCTTTCGAACCATTAATTAAGTTTCTGGAAGACACAAACTCATCGCCTTCGATCCTACCGGTTCTCAAGAAAATCAGCATTAATTTTCAATGGTGGAACGATGAACACAAGCCATACAACTCTGGGATGAATTTCCGCCAACTCGTATCTTCAATTTTTAGCTCGGTCCCAATGCTGGAAGAGTTGAACTTAACCATTGCAACATATCACGAACGAATCATTGGGGCCGAAGAGACGAATGATCTTGTGCAAGAGCTCGAACAGCAGTCAATCGCCAACACAGTTCTTGCCCCTAACCTTCGAAGCATGTCTCTGTCAGTTCCAGCACAAACGAATACTGAATGGTTGGCAAGAAAGATCGCTTCTGGAGCCTTTCCAAATCTTAGAAGCTTCAACTTCGAGTCTTCTTTGAGTAAAGGCGAATTTAACGAATGTATAATATGTACAGAGTTTGAGGATGCGAAGTCGGTACGGGATCTGGCAAAAGGTCAGGATCAACTATTGATTAGTGCGTGCCAAGAATTCGGGGTAGATAAGTGGGCTATGAGTGTCCGGAACAAACCTAATAATGTTTGTGTACCCACGTTGTATACCCCCGTCTCATACTTTATTCAAGGAGCTGACCTCGATGTGGTGATGCCTAATCTAGACTTGCCCCATTTTTGCTATGGACGAGAACTACATGTAGGATGTTGTTCAAAGAGATACTATACTGAAATCTCGTTAGGTTTGTGTTATATTATTCTATGTATCTGAACAGTACTCATGCTGAATCCCTCCAGGGTACGCGGGTTAGGTGCCACTCCTTTTATAATTCGATGGCGAGCTTCGGGTTTAGCTTGCTGTGTACGAAATGAATGGCTCTGTTCGAATCACCTTGGTCGGGGTTTGTTGATCAGGATTAATATTTCCTTGCGATTGTTATCAGTATTAAGAATAAAATAATGTCTTCCGAACTTCTCTTTTGTGAACTGTAATAACATGCATGTTTACATGTAGCTGAGATTACGTGTGGCCCGCCCAGTGTTTACAACGAACGACAAGGGCTGCACCGCGTAGAAATCACAATAAGGATACCTGATTTGCAGAAAATTAATGGTCTCGGACTTGAATAAACAGCTGTGGTTGTAGTGTGCTCGGGTTAGGGTTTATCAGTTTCGAGTGATTGTTCATGATTGATATTCGGTTGATTTGGTGCGCTAGCGTCTCTATGCCAAGGACACGAGAGTCAATAAGGAACGTCAGTGTGACAACAGTAATTCTCGCCGATTGTATTTTGAGTGAAGAAAATCAAACTCGGATCAAATTGTACCATCTGGCCCTAAAATTACACCTTCACAACACCGCACAGTGACTACATCTCTACTCCCGCCAGCTAGCATCTACACGACAAGTTACCATTAACACCATATTACCAGCACCTACAGCGGATTAATATATATAACGCACAATTGCATCATGTAGATACATCTCTATTACAAGCAGATGACTACAAGCAGATGACTACAAGTAGGTTTTTCTCTATTTTGTAACAAGGGTGCATTCCGCAAATATGCTGTAATGTTGTATGATGACATGCGCGCAAGATACAGCCAAGTATACTCAATTATAATCTAGTAATTTCCAGAATATCGTGCCATATTCGATAAACCAAGAGATTAGGGTGATGTGACAGTTTTTGCGTTGGGTACAACGGTTACGACATAGTATCATTATCACAGTTGAAACTTTTGGGTCTAACTTAAATTTTGTAGATTGTGATATTGAGGCTTTTAGCGGTTCTCAAATACTTGATATATATAACATTAAAAGCGGTTACGGAATAGTTTATAGTATAGGCAGAGGATTAATGGGAATCAAACAGTCACAATAACTTATGAAAACGAAGATCCGCCTTATGGTTTGAGTGGCTTTCAGACGGGCCTAGCTATGAAGTACGTGTAGTGACCATCAAAGTCAAATTGTTTATTTATTTTTTTTATTTTCGGCAAACTACTACATGTAGCTATATGTGCTTAGTACCCGCAGCGATTCTACATCCGGCGGTTTCTCACTCTTTCACAACGTTAGGAAACATGAGTTTACGTAATTACCTCTTAACGCGTTGCTGTGTTCGGTACTAGTAGTGACATCTCATGACGCAGACTCAATAATTAAAAGCTGAATCACCACGTTGTCACCTCGCCGATTTCACCTTCTTTAGTAATGTTTACGTAGTTTCAAAAGTCGCCGTCCCTAATGATAGAATGTCATAAACCAAAACCTTCGATCTCCCCTATAAATATACAGCTACCGCTCTCTATTTTTTTCACATCATCTCAACACAGCTGCTGCCTTTTATTCACTATATAAAAGCCACACGCAACTGTTAACCCCCTCGTCCCGTGTCAAAATCTAAAACAATTTAACAAACGCAGTCGCCCACAAGTCTACAAATGGCTCCAATTCCGTCTTTCGGTCGAAAAATACTCGACTTCTTTTCTTTCTCCTCGCCAAAGGCGCAAGGAAAGTCCTTGTCCTCTGGTTCCTCTCTGTCTCGTCCATCTGAGGAGTCATTTGAGATGATGACGTTCAAACCACATGGTTCTGAACTTCCGCCGGCTACATCATTTCGTGCCCCGGCCCCGGCTCCCTTTCTGCCCCTGCGATCATCGCTCGTGGCAGATTCACCGCCTCAGTTGCCAGACTTCGATTTTGGCCCGGCTTTTGAAGTCCCTGACAAGTGGACTTCAGCAAAGAGAGACTTGGTGTTCCCGGAGACAAAGTGTAAGTTCACGCGTTTCTAATACGCCTTGCTACAATGCTAACCAGCGGATCACCATAGCTCTCTCGTTGAAACAAGCCCTCTTGAAGGTTTGTCTTGAGGCTCTTGTCTTGAGCAGCCCGACACCAAGCACCTTTGGCCTTGAGGCCGGCTTGCAATGCCAGAACATACTATCATAGTATTATGGCCCTGAGAGCTGGTAGGGAGGGAGATATTTGGTGGGATACGCCAGTATAATACTGGCTTCCAATGGGAGTTAGATGCCAGATAGTGGTATCCCAGTTACAGACTTCGATTTCGGCCTGGCTTTTGGATTTCCTCACTGGTGGACTTCGGCCGGTCCCAAGAGAGACTTGGCGTGTCCTGACACAGGGCGTAAGTTCATGCCTTTCCAATGCACTTAATATAATGCTAACCAGTGGACCACCCTTAGCGCATTGACAAAACCTCACGCCAATCGTATGAGAACCAGCTAGGAGGGATGGATATAGGTTCAACAGAGACTCAGAGTTAGACTTTAGATGAGAGGCAAAGGGGCAAAAATGACGAAGACGTGGGTGTCGATGTTATGTAGTTAGTCCTAATTGTAATCGAGTTCTATAGTAGTAAGATTTTCTTTTCTATCATGGCCGTTCCGTTATACAGTCGACTCTCGTTATAGTGATACTGCATATAGTGATATTCTCCTTATAGTGATACTGCATATAGTGATATTCTCGTTACTTCTTATAATGATAATCGCCTTATAAGGATACAGATTTCTGGTCCCGACCGTATCCTTATATGGAGAGTCGACTATACAGAGAAACCTATCATAATTCCACCCTCTCGAAATTCCACCCCTACAAAACCTCCAGCGTTCGGAAGGAACGGAACCTGTATTTTGCTAACAAATACCACTCTCTCTAAATTCCATCCCTACGATACTTCCAGAAAAGTTTGGCTACCGCAGGGGTGTAGTTATGGTAGATTTGTTGTATTATGGCCTGGCAAAATTTGAAAGAAAGGAATTAAGGGATATGGGACGACAACCGCAACAGGGGGGGACAAGTCTAGGAAGGAAGAAGGAAAAATCATAGAGGAAAACTAGAACCTATAAAGCTCCGATATAGTGGCCAAGGATCAAAGGGCCGGCCGTGGAACGATGATCACGAGTACGAGTGATATCCTGTGACCACAACTCACGCTGCCGCTAGGCGGCACATGTAGGCAGCTTTCTAGCCAGCTGCCCGTAGTGGATGGCCGCCATGTATGTAGGTGTTTGAAATAGTCGATAAACCGACTCTCGCCGAGTTATGCTGCGAGTTTAGGGCCTCGAAGATGAGAGTTGGCCATACATGCCATATAATCGGGAAACAGCTCCTCATTGTAGGAGGTTACCTACCGGCTGGGGAAAATCGCCGAAGAAACTGCCCCCGTGCTATCGGTACGTGTAACTACATGTAGCTCGCAAGAGTGTTTAATACGTGAAATTCCGGTGCAGTAGGAAGTGAAGACGGGTGGGTGGATCATGGGCCGTCACTCGCGGATCACACTCAGTACCACAGCTGCGAGAAACCGCGCAAGCAGTGTTGTGAACCTTTCTTTTTAAATTGACGAGCAGGATATGTATCAATGATTTGGGGGGGGGGGGGGGTTATTCAAGTGGGTCAAGTCACAATGGCGAATGCTGCAAGAACGGCAGGACAGGACAGAGAACCATTACTTCGAATTCCGCTACACTTTTAAACTATTTATGATTTGTCCGCCGGACGGAGCAGATGGGAGAAAAAGGAAGAGTGTAAAAAAGGAAAACACACAACGACAACAAAAAAAAAAGGGGGGGGGGGGGGAAGAGATGCCACAGACACCGACCCCCTACTCATCGTCCTCATCATCATCATCCACAACCCTCCTCCTCTTCCCCGCCCTCCCGCCCCCCCTCCCCCTCTCCGCCCTCTCCTCATCCGTAAACTCCGCCTCATCCTCCTCCTCCTCCTCCTCCTCCACCACCTCCTCCCTCCTCTTCTTCGCCCCCGCCGCCGCCGCCGCCGCCACGGGCCTCCTCCGCCTCCCGCCATCATCACTCTCATCCTCCTCCGAGCTCTCCACAACCTCCTCGTCATCACTCCCCTGCACAAAGTCGTCCTCGAGATCATACTCGTCCTGGTTCGACTTGCGCGCGCCCACGTTAATCGGGGGCGAGTCGCGCTTACTGCGCGTGCCCGTTGAGCGCGGGGGAAACTTTGCCCCCGCGCCCCGCGCCTCGCCGGCCCCGCCCGCGCCGCCGCGCGCGCGCCGCTGCTGGTTCTCGAGCTTCTTGGCGGCGCGCTCCTTGTCGCGCGAGATGCGCTCGGCCTCCTTTCGCTCGGCTTCCGGGTCGCGCATGTCTGTGATCTCGATGGCGGGCTGGCCGGCGCGGCGGCCGCCGCGCGCGGCCTGGGCGGCGGAGAGCTGCTCGTGGAGGCGGTTGACGGCCTCGGCGTTGGCTTGGGAGGCGCCGGTGGGGAGCACGTTGAGGGAGTGGGTTGCGTGGCCGAGGAAGCGGAGCATGCCGGCGGACTCGTGCGGCGTGAGAAGGTAGGTGTGGGAGTCCTGGGCGGGGTCGTATTTTTCGGGGGTCTTGTGGGAGGGGGCGAGCGGCTTGGAGGTTAGGTCGTAGAGGTTGGGGGAGGAGGCGATCTGGAGGGAGAGGGAGCCGTCGGACCATTTTATTATGCGTGCGTTGGACTGGAGGGTGTTGGGGTCGACGGGCGACTTGCGGACGCGGATGGTGGTGGTGGCGGCGGTGTAGGGGGATGTCATGGTGTCGGTGGTGGCGAGGTTCTTGAGCGTGAAGTTCTCGGGGTAGAAGATCTGCGGCTGGATGGCGATGAGCGAGGGCACGCGGAGGAGGTAGAGCTGCGGCTTCAGTTAGCAGTGGGTCCAGAATTGAGGCACAGAGGGCCCACGGGCAGCAGGGACATCATCATACATCGTCGTTCCCCGGGTTTGGCACGGGGTGCCGGGGCAGAGACACATCAATGCTCCTGTACTCTCTCTCGGGCTCGTTCTCCTGCTCGTCCAGCTCAGGCGTGCCCTCCAGCTCGTTATCACTGAGCTCCTTTCTGTCCAGCCAAACCCCCACAAAGTCAACAGACGTTCCCACGCGTTTTTGCCAGAAAGTGCACAGCAGCAAACAACTCACGGCTTGGGGGCCTCCTCGTCACTGTCGTCGCCAAAGAGGTCCTTGTCATCGTTCTCCTCCTCGCCCTCGGCGTCCTCGTCCGCGGCGCCGTCGCCATTGGTCCCGACCCGGCGGGAGCGCTTGCGGACGCCGGCGTCCTCGTCGTCCTCGTCGTCGTTGGGCGCGTGCGTGGACTCGTCGTCGGACCCGAACATCTGGTCGTACTTGTTGCCCGTGGGCCTCTCGGGGGAGGCGGGGGAGCCTTCCGCGTCGGGGGAGGGCGCGGTGATGGACTCTGTGGAGGGGGAGGTGGTTAGCTTCAGGGACTGAGATGTGCGGAGGGTGTGGATTCCTGGGCACCTGGTGAAGACATTGGGGGGTGGTGGATGGACTGTCGCAACGGTGGATGTGTGTATATGTAGGCACAGAGGCAGAATCTCCGAGCTGCGTTGTTGGAGAGAGACGGTTGATGGTTGAGGTTGGAGTCGACGACTTGATGGGACTTGGGACCGAATCCTTCCTTTCCTGTAGACGCGGCTGCTGGGTATCGATCGAATCACGCGGCCTTATCGCATCTGATTAGATCCTGGCTGCTGCTGATTAGATCCTGGCTGCGGCTGATTAGATCCTGGCTGCTCATTGATGTGGCCGGCCTGCCTTCTTGGCAGCCGACGCGGGAGCCAATGGGGCAGCGGGGAAACACAAGAGGGGCGCCAGTCCCCTCTGGGCGGGCCCTTGCGCAACTTCCCGCACCCTCTTTCTCTTTAACCGCATGGGGGGCAGAGACGAGTGAACTCTACTCTAGCACAGCAGTCTAACTAGCACGCGTATGTAGCTCTCTTGAAGTTCCCTTGCTGCCTGCCTGCCTGCCTGCCTGCCTGCCTGCCTGCACTGCAACTGGTTCAAGATGGACGGTTTGGTCATCATCTGAGGCCTCCGCGATCTTGCGGGGGGAAAGAGCAATGTGTTGGACCAACCAGCGTCTGGGATCTCCTGGGGGTTTCGATTTCCCCATTCCCCCCACACCCCGGGGAAGAAGAAAAAGAGGAGAGGAAGATCGAGGACGTGAGGAAGGAGGGGGAGAGGGAGGGAGGGAGGGAGGGGAGGGGAAGGGAAGGGAAGGGAAGGGAGAGAGACATGGGGAGAGGAAGAATTCGAATCGGAGGAAGAAACACACGCAGGTAGGTAGTCGGTTACGGTTACAGTTGGACGGATTTGCAACCGGGTCAAGTCAGGGCAGCTTTTCTTTCTCGGTGTATTGTAATTCCTGTGACACGCCAGGCAACGTTTATTACTGCCAGCCCAGGCCAGAAGTGCAGAGTGTAACTCTACCCGCCAGGCTGAGAGAGTGAGCGCCGCCTTCTTTTGCTCTTTCGGTGTGATCCTCTCTCTACCTCCTGTTACATATTTTCCTGCCTTCTCAATTATTTCTCGCCCCCCGTCTGCTCTGCCCTCACACTCCCCCCGGGGGCCCCCGGTTGACAGTTTACATACAGATAGATACATGATACATACATCCAGCCATCTCTTCTCTGCAGACTCTTCTCTTCTGCCACTGTGTGTGTTCGCGTGTTTGTCCTTGTTCTGATTCTTCTTGCTGCTGTTGTTGATCCAACTTGTCGGTTACTGCCGGGGGGAACGTTTGATTCATTTCATCCCATCCATTGCGCTCACTCGTTCTGTCATTGCATTCCCATTGCGCCCTTTATTGCCTGCCTGCCTGCCAGCCTATCTGCCTGGTGGTTAATCCGAATACAGCAGCACGGGCTTTTCTACTCTAAATCCTTCCTTCCTGACTTTTCCCTTTTTCTTCTTCCCTCCTCCCTTCCCGATCCCGCCGGTCCTGTCTATCAAGTTAGAGTAAGAGTAGTAGTCTTTCCCCGTTGCCCAGTAGTGAGTGGATGAGCTGCGCTGCCTAGTGCCCGGTTGCCAGTCCTTCTTCTTCCACTAGGTACCGTTGTCTGTCTGTCTGTCTGTCCCACCGCCCACTCACGTTCGCCCACCACCCACACACTCGAACCTCTCTCGCCCACCATTAACTGCTATCTACCACCGCTCACCCCCCAAATACATTACATCCAATTCCATCCATCATCCCGCCCAGACAGATCGATCTGCCAGCTACCTACATAGGTGCCCACATACAGACAGACCAGGCCCTAGGAACGAGGAACCAGAGAGAGCCAGCAAGCAGGCCAGCCCATATAATCACACCCCCAGGGTTTCTTCACTCGACATCATCCTCACAACCACAACCACCACTATCACCACCAACATCACTGCTATCACCACCAACATCACTGCTATCACCAATTCACTCAGCCATCTCTGTCATTACACCCCATTCATCACCCCTTCACTCGACTATCTACCTTCACTCTTCTCACCCCCCGTGTTCCATTCACAAGCCCTAGCGTAGAGTGTTGTTTGTTGTTATCTCTGGACCCCCCCCGTTCAGGCACTCACTGCTCTGCCCATTTCCTGCCGAGTAGAAACAAGAGGACCCAAGAGGAAAGAGACAGAAACAGGAACGGAAAGACATCATCATGTCGGACCAGGCTCGGGTTTCGTACATGACCAAGGAGCAGCTAGGTACTTTTACCCAGCATCTATATATCTACATATCTACATATACCTTCCACCCACCTACATATGTTTCTGCCCCCCTCATCATTTCTAATCCCCCATATTTCTTTTTCCCGCCTCTTGTTTGTCTCGCACTGGCCCCGTTACTCATGACGTTCACCTACCCTACCCGCCCGAGCACGCACCACTAACACCCACCAGAAACCTACCTCTCCGACCTCCGCTCCAACCGCCCTCAACGCCCCATCGGCGCGCGCCCCCTCTCCACCACCAAAGCCCGCTGGACGCCCCAGAGCTCCGTCAGCCTCCTCGACGCCGCCCCCTCGCTCAACGAACCGCGCCTGCACCCCTCCCCGCCGCGTCCCGCACTCCAGAAAGCCGCGTCCTCCCCCGACGGCGCCGCCGCAAAGACAACAGACGACGCCGTGGGCAAACGCGACAGCTGGCTCCTGAGACGCAATTCACACAAGCGCAGCCAGACGTTCTCGGCACCCTCGATTGCGTCATCGATACTACCAAGGTCGTCGACGCCGACGCGCATCACACGGACACGCTCCCGCGCCGCGACGGCGTCCGTCCCGCCGGCGGCTACGCCGCCGTTCGCACCCCCGGAGACTACAGAGGCGGAGCGCGAGGCCGGATGGGACGGGAAGGACCTGCAGGAGGGCCGCATGGGCGATACGCCGCCGAAGAAGCTGTTCTCCACGGACTCAGCAACAGCAGCGGACTCGGCGTCGACAACGACGACGACGACAAAGCGCGGCAACTCGCTGAAGAAGCAGGGCTCCTTCAGCTTCCGCGAGTTCTCCAAGTTCGGCACCCGCCACGAGCGGACGGGGTCGTCGGGGTCTGCGTCAACGTCGTCGTCGTCTTCGTCTTCGGGTGGTGGTATCGCGAAGAAGACGGTGTCGTGGGCGCTGCCGTCGCTGTCGCGGCCGAGCTCGCCGAGCCCCGTGGTCATGCCCCCGACGCATCCGCCGCCAAAGTCCGCGTCGACGAGGATTGAGGAGGAGTTGACGTCCCATTTTAGGTCGTTGCCGCCGGCGCCGATGCCGTATGTGGCGCCGCTGAGGATCAACAAGTCGCCGAGTCAGCGGTCGACGCCGTTGGGGAGGTCGGAGTCCGCGGCGAAGTTGCCAATTGTGCCGGAGGCGGCGGCGGCGACGCCGCCGACGAGGAAGGAGTCGTCGGTGAGGACTGCACCGATCTTTTCGGCGCCGGGGAGGCGCGCGTATATTGATCCGCATAAGAAGGAGCCGACGCAGCATAATAAGGTCAAGTACACGACGAACCCGGTGCCGTTGCCGTCGCCGCCAATGTCGGGGTCGGAGGAAGAGGATGCGGAGGCAGAGGCGCTGAAGGAGCTTGGGAGAAGGCCATTGCCGAAAGCTGGGAATGGCAGCAGTGAGAACGTGGCTGCCATTACGGGTGGTATTGAACGGATTGGGGGTCTGGGTAGTAGGAGCGGTGGTGGTGTTGGGTTTGGGAGGAACGATACAGACGCACGGAAAAACAGGTCGCGGTACGGAGCACAGGTGCAGCCGCAGTCTGCCGCCCCGATTATTGGGCTTGTCACGATGCCGACGCCGCCGCCGACAGCGTCCAGCTCAACGTCGAACAAAATGCCCCCCGTGCCGTCCATCTGCGTGCCGGACAAAGACGACAGCCCACGAGTCCCGGTGCCAATCCCCAGCTTTAACTTCCCCGACGAGGACCCCACCCCCGTCGCAAAACCAAAGCAGCCATCACAACCACCCCCATCAATCCCCATGATCTCGCTCCCGGACGAAGCGCCCAGCGGCGCCCCCGCCCGCGACCCCACCGGCCCCAGCGCCTCGCGCCGCCCCCTCCCCATCCCCCGCGGCTCCGCAAAGGGCCCCGCATCAGCCTACAGCGGCAGCAACAGCAGCGGCTACGTCAACTCGCGCGGCCCCACGGCGTCGTGCGCATACTGCCGCACGCCCATCGAGGGCCGCGTGGTGTCGGCGTCGTCGATACGGTTCCATCCCGAGTGCTTCAGATGCGACCATTGCCATACGACGCTGGAGCATGTGGGCTTCTTTCCGGAGCCGGAGGAGAGCAGGAAGAGGAGGGTGGAGGTGGAGGGGGAGAAGGGGGGCAAGGTGAGGTTTTATTGCCATTTGGACTTTCATGAGCTGTTTTCGCCGAGGTGTAGGAGCTGTAAGACGCCGATTGAGGGGGAGGTGGTCGTGGCGTGTGGCGGGACGTGGCATGCGGGGCATTTTTTCTGCGCGGAGTGTGGGGATGTGAGTATTTGCTTCTTTCCTGGGGTGGCTGGGGGGAGCGTTTGGGGAGCGAGTGCTAATGTGCGTGTGCGGGGGGTAGCCGTTTAATTCCGAGTCGCGATTCGTCGAGAAGGACGGGTATGCGTGGTGCGTGGGGTGCTACCAGAATAGGTATAGTGGCAAGTGCAAGAAGTGCAAGAAGCCCGTCACGGAGACGGTGGTGAAGGCGCTGGGCGGCGAGTGGCATGAGGAGTGTTTTTGCTGCACGGTAAGTTTGGTTCTCCGATGGGGGTTTTGGTTGGGTGGTGTTTGAGACGGTGCTGATTGCGGTGGGTGATAGGAGTGTGGAAATGGCTTCGATGATGGGCGCTTCTTTATCAGGGGCAAGGGAGGTAATGAGATACCGGTGTGTGTGGGGTGTGAGGAGAGGAGGTTGAAGAGATGATGATGATTGATGATGGTGATGATAATGGGCGTGATGAAGTATCTGACTACTAGCTTACACACAAGCTATGATACGAAAGTCACGATAAAAAAAGGGAAAAAAAATGGGGGGGGAGGGGGGGGGATGGGTATGACCGAGAACGACGAGGAAAAAAAAAAAAAAGATTTTGGGGTGAGTATTTTAACGAAAAGCTACGAGTTCTCTTTGTGTTTTTGGTGGAGTACTTGTTGTGTCTTTTTTTTTTATAACGGAAACGGGCTTTTTTTTTTTTTTTTTTTTTTCCACAAGGCGGGAGTATGATAGGGATATTGGTAGCATAGATAAAGGCGATATTCTTTTATTTTTTTTACTATTCTTTTTTTTTTTTAACTTTTATTTGCAGCTTTTTACCCCCCTTGAGTGAGTGATTGTGTTTTTGCGTGCATTGTTTGGCTTTTTGGCTTTTTGGCTTTTTGCGTTTTGTGTTCTGTTCTGTTCTGTTTCGTCTTGCTTGTTGCAGTTTTTCACCTACGCACTACAGCTACCACTGGCAGTAAGCTAGGTGTGGTGACAGACAGATTACTACTTACTGGCCTTTTTCGTTTCGTTTTTTGCGTTATCATATTGTACTTCTTCTTTTCCACGAAAAAAACAAGAGGGTCCGGCCGGGTTCCTGACTGTACTACTTACGGGCTGGGACTGGATGCTAGCGAGCGATGGAGCGTTGGGCGAGATTATATACCACATTGCTTTGAGTATGTTTTTGAGCGTTTTGTGTTGCGTGTTTTGTATGTTTTGTTTGCTGTGTTTGAGATGAGAGATGGGAGATGGGAGATGGGAGATGGGGGTAGAGGAGGGGGAAGGGGAAAAGGACGTGGGGATGGGGATGGGGATGTGGGGATGTTTATATATTGCTTGATGCGATCCAATTGTGTTATGTTGATTTTGATTTTGGGCTTTTTGAGTTTTGGGTTTTTTTCGTGATTTTCGGTGACTTTGTGGTGACTTTGCGGTTGTGGTGCGCGCGGTGTGGGGGGCGTTTTTTTTTTTTTTTTTTATGGTGGTGGTGGTGGATGGGTGGGAATAGGAAGGGCGCACGGGAATGGGTTCTTGAAGGGGTTATTATGGGTTGTGGGTGGTTTTGGTGGTGGTGAAGGTAATGTGGTGGAGAAAGTGCGTCATGGATTGTCACTCGGTAGATCGTGTATGTAGCACTAGGAGACAAAACACGTTATAGTCTTCTTCCTGGGGTTGTGTCATGCCACTCGTTTCGAGTTGTGGAGACACAGATGGATACATTCGTGGAGAACCCCAACCTTTGAAACTGGGGACACCAGGTCAGACGGCTTTTGGGGGGGGTTGGCGGGTTGTGTCGTGTCGTGTCGTTCACAGACTATCACTCGACGTGGGAGGGCCCGCGCGTGTAACCTTAACCGTCAACTTTGTTGATCTGTCTATTCGTGCGTACAGGCTTTCGGGTGTGGGGCTTCGTCTCCAGCCCTCACGAAGAACGCAGGGCGACGAACTAAGGGAAATGCACACAAATTATACTATCTTCTCCTCGTAATCACTGAATGAAACCCCGCGTGACGTACTCCTTGCTCCGACACTGGCTCTGAGTGCTGAGATGAATGCCGTGGTGCTTGAGCTCTGGAATGTTGCTTTGCGTGTATTCGAGACCGTCTTGTTTTCCTTCTGCTTTTACTAGGCGTTCCAATGTCGTTTTGTGTGTTCGGCTGTTTCTCATCTGTGGTTATAAGTGTTGCTGCCAGGTTTTCGCTGTAGTGGTGCTGTCTTTCTTTTCCTTTTTCAAGTCTCCTGGTTCTCACGTAGTCGGGTTGTAAATTTTTTGAAAATTATTTATTCATTGGTGTGTTTTTGGGATGCACTCTTTCCTTTCTGGCTTGAGGAATGGCACGTCTTGGTGATGAAGAACTTGGACCTCCGGCTCCTTGGTGTTTGCCATCAGATTAGCGGTTATACACATACAGCTGTAGACGCACAGAGGTGGTCATTTCTCTTCATACTTTTGTCTCTGCCCCATCCTCCACCAACATTATGTAATTATTTACCACGACCTTCATCACGTCCACGATCACGTCCACGACAGTCACGGCCAGAACGACCACACGAATATACATGTAACGACCGCCCAACCTCTTCTTACGTTTTGATCTTTCCATCATTATCACTATTTTATCCCGACTTCCTTCTAGTGCTGCACTTATATCTTATATCTCCAGCCTTATACCTCTATCTAGCATGACCAGTACCACTTCATACAAGTACGAACAAGGTCATCTGTAATTACATATCACCCCTTCCCAATCCCACGTAGAAAAAGCATCTCTTCTGTCGTGTAAAGGGGGAGAGACTCGGCCCTGGTGCCGCCGGTAGGCGGAGGGGGGGGGGGAGGATAGGTGTCTTTCTTTATCAGAGAAATATTTTGCTCGTCAATCACATAAAAAGAGTTCGCAATACTGCTTCGATTGCTAGGTCGCGTTCTACGTCCGGTTCAGAGGAGGGGTTAAACGTTCGCGGCTGTGGTATAGAGTGTGACCTCTACACCGCGGGACCATCCAACCTACGTTAACAATGATTTCGTTAGTGTTATTGGCTGCATGTTGGCTCTCACTCATCTACGCTAGCTTGGCACGGAGCCGGAACGGCTCCTACACTAACATTGGGTGTGTGTAGTACTAACCGCTCAGTAGGTTTTCTTTAGCACCTGGCTATATGGAAATTGGGTGTGCTCTATGGTTCCTTTATGGTTCCTTGTAGCAATTCGTGCAAGGAAAGGACAAGAAGTCAAGAGACTCAGCAGAGGAGGTTGATGGGCTTATACTAGGGATCCAATGGACCTTTTTTTTTAACTGGAGGTTACCTTACTAACCAAAGGAATTCGACTTCCTGGGGGATAGCGGCTTGATCTGATCTTAAACGACAGAAAGCTAGTTTACTGCAAGAAGCCCTGTCTTTAAAGAGTGAGGAAATGGCGGTAAGAACTTTAAACATGTTTCAGTACATCGTTTTCCATCGGCGTGTATGTCCATGCCTTTGTCTAAGGGTCAGAAGGTCAGATTCCAAAGATGGCTGGCATGTTGATGCGTGGACAATGTCCCAAATTATGGAGCCGGATACCTCTATCCCACGGCCACAGGGCAACCTACCACTTGCTAGAGTACTCTACACGAGCCTACGTAGGCTAGGGTTTTGGATGTGCTGTACCATGTGCGAGCCCATCAGTACATATGTAGGCACGACTGTCATGTTAAAATAATTCTGCAGCAAAAACTGCAACAAATTATGGGGTAAGTGCCCCATAATTGCCCGACCTGGGATTCGAACCCAGGCCGTTGCAGCTGTGACGGCAGCTAATGGAGATGGAATGAAGTTTTATCCCTTAAGCTAAGCCAAACAACGCATGCCAGTATTGTCCGGATTTCTGTTTTAAAGCCCATCCCATCGAGGGGGGCTCAATCTAATCTAATCGTTATCGTTACACACACCAGATTGGTCAATAGTAACCTACATGTAGATTTTACACATAACACTCGCCCCTTCCCTCCCCCAGTACTACGACTCCCCACGCCCAGGTACATGTAGCCATGCTCGAAAATCGATTCAGCGAGAGAGAACATGGCCCCACTAGAGGGACTTTAAAAATTTACCCCGCCTATGTGCGCTGCTCACCACAACCACAACCACAATCACAACTAGACCACCACAAACTCAACTTCCTTCATAACTTCACCTATCCAACGAGTAACCCCTTGAACTTGTTGGTTGTCTTCTAACAGGGAGAGTATGACACCTGTAATAACCTAGGTTTTACCTCGCACGGATATATGGTAGGGACATGCTTTTGACTGCAGACGAGAGTTGCAGAGTGCCTTCTCTGTGCTGTTCAGCAGAAATCATACTTAGTCTTCTAGGCAGCTAAGCCGGAAAGCGTATAATAGCCGTGGGGATGATAAAGAGATTGTTCAGCGCATTTAACTCTCATGTCCTCAATCTTAGGCTCGTACAGGGGGTCCTACTATGATCAGTTCTGCTACTCACTCTCCAAGTCCCATCATGAGGTGGATGGATCTTTATTGATGTCAAAGCCTCTAAAGGGCAGCACCTAGTCAGAAACGATCTTTACACCCGCCCTGGACAATGATAACGGCTGAACAGTCACCTGGGACAGAGCTGAAGACAGCACGTCTGGGATACTGCTATAGACAGAACATAAGAACCAGGCCCTAGTACTGGCCTAACCCAGGGGCGACATGGAATACTCGACGCGATTAAGACCGTTGGATAATATCCACCAATATCAATATACAAAGGCGTTTCAAGAGCTTGTAACGGCAAGCCGGTAGCTTTTTGAAAGCGCAAAAGGATCATCCACGACAAGAAAATGAACCAACATCAACATATAGCTCTAAAGTGCACTTAAGATCAACATACATACTGGGAGCATCTTAGTTGGCTACAGTATTGATCAACATCAAACTCGAAGATATCATTCATACTATATCACTCATCTCCGGTAGTACATTCTATCACTCACTGCTACTGACCAACAGCAGCGTTGATTATGATCACGATTACTGAACATCTCTAAAGCCAGGATTCCGCAGGGAATCATGCGCGCTTTCAAATCATGGGATTGGGTCATTCACATCCATACATGAACGCCCTCGACGAAGAACGGGCCTGAACACATCATGACACTAGTGCCATGACCGCCAAGAACGAGTGATACACTATGTCGCTCCACACCCACCCCAACAACCCAAGAATCACCGAATGACATGTGCGACTTTTCGCCTTAATTTTTTTTCCAAGCCCTTCCAGTCGAAATCAGAATTCCTCCCAGCCTCTTCAAAAACGAATTACCCCGCACGGAAACGGAACGCGGGAAAAAAAAAAACGAAAAAAGAAAAAGAAAAAATATTTATATAAATAAATAAATAAATGAAACATAATGCATTATGGTTGGGTTTTGTGCTACCATTGTACTGCCATGGTACGTCAATCATTTCACCAGGACCAGGAGTGAGATACAGCCAGCCTTTTCTGGTTCCGTCCTATCATCGTATCGATTCATTCATACATGCGTTCTTTAATCCGTTCCACACCAGCAGCAACCACGAAGAGAGGAGAAGAGAAACAGATACGTAGGTAGGTAGCCCAATCCGGGCGAATGGTAAAATATTCAACACCCCCAACAAGCCAGCCAGAGGTGCGATACAAAGAAGAAAAAAGTAATAAGAAACAAGCAGACACAAACAGGGATTCCGAATGAAAAGGGAAGCAGAGCAGAGTAAGTAGATGGGAGGGAGAAGAAAATGGGTAAAGGAAGGAGGAGGTTAAGAAAAAAATGGGGATAAAAGAAAAGAATAATTAATGCTACCCAACTCTAGATGCACCCGAAAATAAAATACTACATACCCCAAACAACAATAGTGGATGGATCAAGCTTCCAAGTAACGAGCTTATCGCAACCCTATCCCATACTGTCTTTCCTGCATGCCCTATCCCTTCCCTCCCTTCCCCTACCCTACCCTACCAACCCTGGAGATCCCTGGCAACTCCGCAAAATAAAAATAGAAATTCCAGACCAACCAGCTACCACTTTAAAAGAAGAACTCCATAATGATTTTTTGTTTCCATGCATCTTTTTTCTAACCGCTCAGCGCCAAACAAGCATCAACAGCCTCACCAACCCTATTCAAACGGCCCCACCCAAAATCTTTCTCAGCCTTCTTCCTTTTCTAAAAGAGAGATACCTCCTCGACACAAAGCGGAACGGAACAAACAAGCTCAAAGCAAGGGCGTAGGATGAGGGGGAAGTGGGTGCTAGGGAAGTGGGGGGAGATGAGGACGCGGAGGACGAGGGGGGGAGGATGGGGGAAGAAACCGACCTCCCTTCCTTCATGCTGACAACATCGCCGATAATCTCTTTATCTAGAGCCGGGAACATCGCCTTTAGAATATCCACCACGTTCTCGTGCTCACTTCTTTGGATCCGGCGGGCCTCTTCCGTCTCTGCGCTCGCCTGACGAGCAGCCGCTTCCTCTGCCGTCACAGGAGGTCTTCGACGCCCGCTATGGCCGCGGCCGCCGACGGCGGTGAGAAGGCTGTCTTCAGCACTAGGAGAGCGGCCACGAGGGGTCAAGGCTGGCCCGCTATTCGAGGATACAGATAATGTAGCGTTTGATGGCTCCCCATCCGAGAATATACGCCCAATAGTTGTTAGGGGCCGCTGTATAGTTCTTAATAGCCCAGCTACGGCTGCCTTTTCATCGGATTCACCGCTCGAGGAATCATTAGAGCTCGTGGAACTTCTCCCCTCTGTAGATCTCCTGCCCTTCTCAGAGACAGTCTCGGTATTATACGATGACTGCCTCCTTGGTGGGAGCTGCGGGGGTGACGGAGGAGGAGGCCGTTCCGCAATTGCTGCTACAGCGGCCTCAACATTCTTTTCGAACTCTTCGTCTGTAATGGTGAGGCTGGAGCGGTCAAGATTCTCTATAAACTGAATTGCACCCATCTGAAAAAGCACACCCAAGTATTAAAAGGGTCTAAGTCTTTCACAGATAGAAATAGTAATAAGAAATGTGGCCGAACGTACCAAACTGCTTAAATAATATCCCGCCTCGCCATTAAGCTTATCCGGGTTCCTAAACCTAAGGATGTACTGTACATTACTGACCAAATGTTCCGGATTCGCCCGGAGAACAACATAGATCAGCAATGGAATGAATTTATCCGCGCTCTCGTCGCTATTAGAATGCCGTAACAGCCCTGTGTTCCCCAATAACCCAAGATCAGCAATTGGCAGTCTCCGTACCCACCCAGAACCGCCATCCCGCTGAAGGCTTACCGAAAATAACCTTGCAGCAATTAAGCACGCAAATAACCTTATCTCTCGGAGCCCTATAATTTTTTATCTTCACCATCTCGTTCACCGCCAAGTCCAAAAACTTCCTCCCCCCATCCCCTCTCACCGTGTCTCCAATATCCAGATGCTCCTCCCTGATCCACCCATAGATCCGCACCTTCTGCGCCAGCACCTCATCCCGCTCCACATCCTCCTGATGCTGCCCCCGCCTCCCGGGAAACATATCATCACTCGGCGTCCTCCTTGACCCCCCCGCGCTCGGCGGCGACGCCTGCAAGATCTCCGGCGAGAACGTCTGCGTGTAGAGCCGATTCATCACGAGCTTCTCCATGCCCTCGCGCGCATTATCCATCTCCACCTCGCCGACGTCGCGCCACACATCGCAGCTCTCCATCTTGCCGTAGATGAAGTTGAGAAAGTCGTGCACGATCTTGACCTGCTCGTGCACCATCCACTGCTTCTTGGCAAACTCGCGCAGGAAGCTCGACAGGAACTTGGCGACGGGGTCGGCAGAGCCCTTGCGCAGCTGCCGCAGGAATCGGTGGAAGTCAAAGGGGAGGTCCTCGTCGGGCGGCGGCGGCGGCGGCTGCTGCTGGGAAACTATGGGCGACTGGACGGCCTCCTCGCGGGCTTTGCCAGCGACGTTGGGCGTGGGTGTCAGCGCAAGTTGGGGGATCTGTTGGGATGCCTGGCCAGGTGATGTTGTGTCCCCGGGTTTCCCGCTCTCGTTGGATAGCGATGAGGAGCGTATGGGGTGCATTATGGGCGGTTGTGAACCTGAGGAGGCGAGCGATGTTGAGCTCTTCTCGTTGCTCTGCTCGAATATATTGTGGATCTCCGAACGAGTATTGTCACCGGGCTCGTCGTCCTCTGAGGATGAGCCCGACCTAGGGTTTCTCGGCAACTCCCGATCAGAGCTATCCCGCGTTGGGGAGACGGACCTGCTGCGGCCAGGTGTCAAGGGGGCTGGATCGAGGTAGACTCGGTCCTTTGGGGGTACATCCTTTGGGGGTGGAGCTGGCGGAGGTTGGGGCAGCGGGAGAGTCTGGAGCAAGGCTGGGGATATGGGCGACCTGCTGCTGCTACTGGTAATTGTATTATTATTATCGTCCTTCCTGGGCGTCGGAGGTGAAATCTCGTTGAGCTCGGGCTTGTCGGGGACGGGGGCTAGCGAGTTTGAGATGTCCGAGGGAGCCGAATCTGGGTTTGCCGGGCTCATGGAGAGGCCTGCGACCTGCGTGGAGAGCATGTTGAGCGTGCGGTCTGTAGCCGACCCGAGCACGGGCGTGGAGACCTGGTTGATATCAGTGTCCGACGAGAGCAGGTCATTGTTGTCGAGTTTGTAATCGGTGGTTGAAGAATTCGACTCCATGGGGATCTCTAGCAGGTGTTGTTCGGGGGAGGTCTTTTCTATTGTCGTCGTCGTCGTCGTCGTCGTCGAGGTCTTGGTCGTTGGGAGCAGGACGGGTGTTGAGTTGTTGGTCGAGCCACTAAGGTTTGCTGCAACATCATTCACCGAGCAGCTGCTCTCCAAGGCATCCACTACTTCTTCATGCTCTTCTGCTTCTGCAGCTGCTGCAGCTTCTACTTGGCCGCCACAATCACCACTTCCTGTGTCGGAATACCGCAGCTCGTCCCGATCGGCAGCAGGCGTGTTGCCAACTGTCCCATTAGACCATACCCATTCATCGTCGTCCGTGCCCGATGCGGTGGTGCTGGACACTTGCACTTTGTCGGTAGTGGTTTCTGCATCGAGGGATTTAGGAGTGTTGTTCGCATGCGGCTCTGCCGAAGAAGCGGCAGTAGCAGGAGTATTAGAAGATGATGGTGCAGTAGTAGTAGTAGCAGTAGCAGTAGTGTTTTCTGTCTCTGCAGGGAGACTCCGAGTACTACTAGCAGTACTACTAGCAGTGTTACTCATCTCTGCTGCTGCTCCTGTTTGATGATTCCCACCAGGCTCCATGTGACTCGAATTTTTTGACCCTGGAGGGAACGACGATAGCTCAGAGTATGTTGTACCTACGCGGGAGAGATTGTAGGCAAGTACAAGACTTTATCTTTCCCCGCTGATCGGCAGAGTCTTAGAGGTCTGTGCTATCGCCTCACCAAGCTTAGCTGCTGACAAAATACTATAATACGAGCAGAGCAGTGGCAGTAGAGTAAGTAATACTAATAAATCCGGGGTAAGGTATGGGGCGAGAAAGTCAGAAGGTTGGCTGGTGTGGTAGTCCCTGAGAAGAAAGGGGAAGATCTCGAGCGAAAGCAAGTCAGTGAGTCTTGAAAGTAACAACCTCTTCCTCTTCTTTTCCTGGTGGGGCTGTGGAGAGGGGGGAGGGGTGAGTGGTAATATGAGAGGATGGAAGGGCAAGCAGGGTTTTGTTTCCCGCCCTGCCTGCTTGATCCTGTCACTCAGTCTGGATGTTTCAAAGCTCAAGCGCCTCGAATGCTTGATTCAAAGAGAAAATGCCCTTGCCCATTCGGCACAGCGACTGCCTGTTGTGGTGTCACCGTGGCGCGGAGAGAGACCCTTGTAGACTTTTTGCATCCCTACCAAGTTTTCACTTTGACTTGGAGCTGGTTATCTTGGCGGAAAGTCGTCAGTTTAGTTGGGTTGGGATATATCGGTATCGCTATCATGTCAGGCGTTTCTTATCGCCCGGCGCATTTAGAGTATGTAGATAGAAGTATGTAGGGTTAATTCGGGAAGTACAATAGGTAGGTACATCTAAAGTACTTCACTCTACATAGAAGCCGATCCCGAAGCTTCTTCTGCTGCTGGCTGCAATCTGCACCCCACAGTCCCGAGCAATGCATTCAATTGACACCGGATATATTAACCTCCGTTTTCCCTCTCCAAATCACCCGGAGACCACCAGCACCACCACCGCTACCTCCTCCCTCTACATATTGCGTACTTGCCGGTTTGCTTGCTTGTTCAGAGCCCGATTCTAAACTCAGTGACGTCTCAGAAACATCACGGCAGCCCCGGCGAATCAAACGTTGTGTCCTCCCGGATCTCAAAACGCCAAGTGTGTATCTTTAAAACCAGGGCAACGACAACGAAAAAAAAAAAAAAAAAAAAAAAAAATACACTTCGATGACACGCATGCGCATACATCCTTACCTGGGCCCTGCGCTGGGAATCGTACCAATGTTTGTTCGTCGCTCGATTGGGGATCAGGACTCGGAGCGGCTGAAATGGGGCGAGTGATTTTCTGTGAATGGAGAAGATGGATTCGGATATCATAATGGGAAAGAAACTTTCGCTAATGAAACAACTGAGGTTTAGAGTGCTTAGTATAACGCTCGGGTCTGGTAACTGGAGCTGGGGTAGTTTACACCGGAAGTGCGAACTCTAAGCAAGACAACCCTGGCTTAAATATCACCACTACTACCACGAAACCTATTACTGTTAAGCAGCAGCGATAATAATTAAGGGAGATAACGCAATACGACTGCCCGGTAAACAAAAACCCCGTGTTTCGACCGTAACACACATGCAACTTTCAAACCTTCCCAACCTTCCCAACCAGGGATGTCTCTAACATACACCGGAAAATCCCAGCAGAGATACCTATATCTCTGCGATATATTACGATGATCATCTACCTTACTAACAATGAGGTCTCAGATGGCGCTACTAAAACGTTGTCTTGACGACAACAATGGCCCGAACCTTATCGACTTCCGCATCCGGAAGTGACAACAGTTTTGAGAAAACGAACCCGGAAACGAACCGACGTTTCGCTGCGCGCGGGTGGACAAGCTGGTCTTGGGTATGGGAATGGAGCTTTTTTATGGTCCTCATGAAGCTTTATCGCTTGCCTTGGCGTTTTCCCCCTCGCTATAATATGGATGTCTAGGTCCCGGCCCATTTGAACGCAAACCACCAATCTAGGGTTGACGTTCTCAAAACTGGAGACTGCAAGGGGGTTAGTAATCTACTAAATGTGGTTTTCGGCGGAGCTGCAAGCATAATCCACGAACCCGGTACAAAAGTACAGAACCAAGGCCTATCCAGAAAGGCTGGATAGCGGTTCTGGTTTAAACCACTTTGGGATTTGAGATAATCTCCACATTATATCAAATCAGGGAACATCAACCGGACCTGGATATCAAGAGAAACAGAACTTAGCAGAAGAAGGCCGCACCGCTAAATGCGATATTGCAATTCCCAATTCCGGATCCGGCATGACGACTCTGGACAAAATGCAAAGCCAGGTCACTACTGTGCGGGTATCTACAGCTGTTGTGTAGAGCGCTCACGGTAAACTACCACATGACATGTCGGCCAGGCATATATATATATGATAGGTACTCAGCACTATGTGGAGTTGCAATCGGATACTGGGTAGCAAACTACGAATACTGGAATGAAGCCGTGTTTGAAAAGTCGGTATGCATGCAGTACTACATGCAGTAGTGAAATACTCATATTGCATTATCAACCCTACAAGTATTTTGCCCTTTCGAGACGTAAAATATGTGGCCAGACTAATCGAATGAGGCACTCATTATTGAAACTCTCAATGCCTGCAATACTGTAGAAACCAGGCATCATAGCCGCCAGCCTGAAAGCTTATAGCTAACCTGACCACCCGTCAGCAGCTGTATTTCCCCAGACAAGTTTCCGCACGCACGCACACCCACCCACCCACTACTGACAAGCTTTCCGCAATGAGCTGACCATGATCACCCTCGGCCCTGGAGATCAGGGTTCCGGGGAAGCTAATCCCTGAAGGGCACAGCGGAAAAGGGGCTGTTTGTGACACTTGGTGTGCTGCTAAGAACGTGGCGTCGCTGTAGCTGATTGGCCGCTAGTCGGGTTTGGCCGAGGTGTGTCTGGATCGGCCTTAGCTGGCCTGCGCTCACACTCTCATATAGGAATATTTATATATAGAGGATTAACCCTCTGATCTTTCCTTTGTTCATCGATCTCCCCCCCGTCCCCCTCCCCCTCCTTCTCCCCCTTCCCTCCTTCCTTCTTTGGGTCGGAGACTTCCACTCGTTTGAATTAATCCCAGCCCTAGAGACCCCACCATGCTGTACCGAAACACAGCAGTCCTCATCTTCCCCCTCGTGGTCCTCACCTGGTACCTCATCTCCCGCTCCTGGCCAACCCTCTCACAGAGCACCCTCCACCCCGCCCCCCTCCACGCCGACACCGTCCCCGTCGCCATCAGCTACGGCACCGGCTCCCTCCTCGCCCCGCCACCGACCCCCCCACCCTCCCCCTACGACCCCAGCAAGCACGCCTACGTCTTCTACGCCACGAACAGCGCCTACGCCTGCTCCGCCATCGTCAACTTCCACCGCCTCAAGCACAACCTCAACACAACCGTCCCGGGCATCCTCCTCGCCTCCTCCGGCGTCTCAAACTCCACCCTCTCCGCCGCCCGCACGGCGGGACTGGAGGTCATCCGCGACGAGCCCCCGCCGCTCGCTCCCGGCGGCGTCGTATACTACTCCCAGGTCCTGCTGAAGCTGCGCGCGCTCAATCTCAGGGCCGTGAAGCCGCAGCTGCGCAGGATTATTGTGATGGATGCGGACCAGCTCATACTGAAGAATCTGGACCATCTGTTTGCGCTGCCCGAGGCGGAGATTGCGGCGCCGCTGGCGTACTGGCAGGAGGGGAGTAGTGTGACGACGACGCTGATGGTTGCGGAGCTGTCGGACCAGTTGTGGGGCATTGTAGATGAGGCGATAAAGGGTATTAGGACGGATGAGTATGATATGGATCTGGTGAATAGGGTGTTTGGGAAGCGGCTCATGGTGCTCCCCGGGAGGTACTGTACGTTGAATAGTCATTGGGAGTCGCTGGATCTGCCGGGGTGGTTTGAGGGCGGGACGGCGACGAGGCCGGCGCAGAATGGGGAGCAGCTGGACAGGCTGTATGAGATGGCCGAGGTGGTGCACTTTACGGCGATGGGGAAGCCATGGGATGTGGTGGGCGGGAATGTGGGCGTGACGAGGCCGACGGCGCATCCGCTGTTGGGCGGCATGTTTGTGGAGTGGAGGACGACGGCGGATGAGGTGTGTGGGCGGGTGCCGCATGATTGATTAATAGGGATTGGATGGGGGCGGGTTCTTTATGGGGTGGTGTATATTCTGGTACATAGTTGGTTACTGGCGTGCCCAGGTGCTGTGGCATTCATGTGTTTATTTATTAATCCGGCAGAGAATATATCTAATATTACCAATTCACAATTTCTGGGGTGAGAAAGTCGTGCGAGTGATTAGCAGTGAGGCTTGGCATATGCATAGAGGTCAATCCATGCATGGCGACTAGCTAGCCAGCCTCTGAAATGTGTTTTCGGGATTATAGGGTACGCAGCTTGCAGCGTTAATTGAAATTGTAGTTTCTTGGGTTCGGCCTATCAGATAAACCAATTTCGCAATGGCTTCATTGCGTAGTGAAGCTTCTGTCTTTCCCAACTTCGTTTCTCTTCTCCATCAGTAAGGTCGTTCGCCATGTAATACACACAGCTAGCCCACCGCCGTTTAACGCAGCAGTGATCTCTATCAATGGTAGGCCGGCTAGTGTATGGTAGTTTCACTCCACTCTATGGCTTTTTGTAGAGACAAGTAGTGCTTTTACTAGACTTCGAGTTTGGGGAGATGGTGGCAAGTGGAATAGAACAATTGATCAAACCCATCGATCACTAGCAAGGAGATTAAACTCGGAGGCGCGTTTTTAAATAATGCTATCCGCGCCGAGTCCGTGCCATCCTAATGTAACAATTGTTCCCAGAATGCAGATCTTTTTTTGTCTTTGTCAGCAGGCTACCGGGATCCCGGCCGAGTGATGTCTGGTGAACCATATCCTTCCACTTGTGAGATCTCGATAGTGAAACCTAGACATCATATACAGTGTCTCGTAAGGGCTAGAGACTGCGGGTGGAGCTCAGACAGATAAAGTCCATGTCTAGTAAAATTGTATATAATTTAGTTGACAATCGGCATACAAGCTGCCTAACTCCGGATCCAATGATATCGCATCTTGTCCTAGTGGACTCAAGATGCAGGACCACCAACTCATCACAGAAGCTGGTATTATCTCCAGCTGTACTGCGGTGAGCTAAGCAAGCCATGACTATGGAAACCATCGTCATCGCAGTGGGAAGCCCTGTTTATTCTGCCGACTTTCAGTCGCCGAGAAGCGGTGCTATCGCCGGGCAAATTGGGCTTCTCGGGACCAGCTGCTGTTGGTAATAGTCAAACAACACCACAGCGCTAAGAGCTGCAACTCGCAGTGGGCTTCCCGCGGTCGGCGAGTACTTATGTATATCCCGGATGCATCGCAGTCAATTGATCACCCCACCATCCAATCGTCTCTGCACTACTAGGTGTGGCTATAGAGATGGCTATCTCCGTCGGGCTATATAGAATACTCACCCGGGCCTCTGCGTGGTTGGCTCATGAGGTGGTGTTTGGTATCATTCTTCCTGGTCTAGCGGGTGAAGGAAACGGTGCTTGTCAAGAGATGGAACTGACAGACCCTAACTCTATCTCTGCACGTGTCCTGGGCTCATCCTTTCGTGTCTTAGGGAAAGTTCGAGTCCTGGGGGTAGCATTTCTTGTAGGTGGAGCGTTTTTGTTTTGTATTCTAGTGTTTTTTTGAAGGGAAGAGGATATTATCGACGTACTCTGCGGGCCCGGGGCGCCTGGACCCCTATCGTTGCCAACGTTACCCGTCCAACCGCCACGGGATTCTACGCCAACGGCGACCAACAACCACCATTGATAATAGGATACATTCAGGAGAGACACAGCCCAAAACATCAGAAAAAAAGAGAAAAATCACTCCTGGAAGCCAAACCTAGCGTTGGAGCTCTAATTGGGAGATATATAGTACCGAGTGATACCTTGTGATTTAGCTGGCAACATCACGTCAACCACTACATGATATCGCAGATGGCAGAGCTGATTAATTCTTCGTTATGGGCCTCTCTGTCGAGAAGGTCGTCTGGGAATATTCTGCATGCGCCACGCGGTGTGGCGCAGGCAGGTCGATTGACTCGGGAGTTGGTGATACGAGGACTGATGGCCAGTGGGTCAAAGGCCAGCTCACATTAGAGACTACTGTGCACTTAGTAGCTAGTGCGTCTTTCTCTCATTTCCCTTTACTCTCTTATAATGCATTCAGTTGAGCTCCTATACTTTGTGAGCCTAGCTTGAACCTGTATCTATCATTCCCGCAGAACCAAAACCTATACTGAACTCCTGTTTCGCTCCAAAATGGACAAGATATACATACCCCCTGGCTAGGCGATAGTGATATATGTCACTAGTGTTGGCTAGAGGGTTGATACGTCCTACATGCCAGGCGGACAGCCAGTACAAGCCTAACCATGCCCCAGGAAACTGACAAAAGATGCTAGATGTTAGGTATTAGCGTCCTATGTGCATAATGCACCGTCTGGACCGGAAGGCTACCTATGGTCGAATATATATCATAGTAAAGACGACTTTATAAAGACTGTGAGATGGGTAACTGTGTATGCATGTAGCCAGCCGATTGGTTCTACATCTCTACTTTTCTGAACACTATAGATGCAGAAATCTGGTGGGAGGAGCGTTATATCACAGACACATTAAGAGCGCGGAGAGTAGGGCAATCATCATTAGTCCCTCCTCCCCTTCTATCCATATCTACACCGATCTATGTCTCTATGATAGTCGTGAGTCCCTACCTCTATTTCCCAGACGGGGCAGAATACTCCCGAAACTAAGGACCTGAACAAACAGTCGTTTCTAACGTTCCCAATAGTGGTATCTAGATGTGTCCTCATAGTCAGTCAGTAAACCATTCACTCATGAACCAATTCACCAATACCAATTAACCACTCCACCTCACCGCACAATATACTCAGACTTGCCTTTAACCCATCACCGCTCCCCCCATCTCCTTTCTCCTCTACTTGCACCCCGCCGCCGCCGCCGCCAGTACTAGTTCTGGAGAGGTTACCGGATGAAACCATACCCACGCAGCTAGTGCTGCAATAGTGAACGTAGTAGCAGCGCAGCAGCAGACGGACAGACAGGCTGAAAGACAGCCGGAGAAGAAGAAAATGGAGGTCGGGCCTTTAACCCAAGGCCCGAAGCAGAGCTCAAAAGTATCTGGTCTCATCATATATAGTTTTGCCCCCCCCCCCGGGGGCCCTTCCTAAAAACAAACAAAAAAAAAAAACAAGTTCAGAAGAGGGAAAACAAACCTAACAATCCCCCAAGACCCCCGTCCCCTTCACCCGCCCCTTCTCCATCTTCGCACTCCGACACCCAAACTGCACCGCCCTCTTCTTCTCCCCCGCCACCCCGCCCATCCCCATGCTGCCCGCCAACCCCCGCAAAAGCGCCTTATCCCGCTTGCCCCCCACCCGGGCGGCAACACACCACCCCACCACGCGCTCGTCGAGAAACGGATACCGCGCCTCACGCCCCCAGTGCGAGAGCACGCGGTCGTCGCGGCCGAGATTGCGCTGGCCCAGCCGCGACAGGTCGAGCTGGAGCTCGGCGATGAGGCCGGCGGTCCCGGACCGGCGGTGCGCGGTGAGGTGCCGCGTGTACCCGCCGAGGAGCTCGTCGGCGCCGAGCCCGGAGAGGAGGATTCGCGATGGTGTCGTGTAAGAGGGAGAGGAGGTGTCTGGGGTGTGTGAGATGCTGCGGGAGGCGAAATAGAAGGCCAGCGCGATGGAGAGGTCCATTTCGGTGTTGTGCGGGTGCATGAGGGAGATTACGGTGGCGCGGTGGGCGTGCAGTGTGGGCTGCGGGATGTTGATGGCGTGGAAGCGCCATGGACGCGGGCAGACGGAGAGTAGTTCGGCGTGCGATTTGCGGCCGGTGAGGCGGTCGGGGCAGAGCTCGTAGGTGTCTGGCTGCGCTTCGGGGGTCTCTGTCTCTGGGAGAGGTTCTTCTGGGGCCTCCGTCTCTGCTTTTATCTCTGCTTCGGGTTCTGGCTCTGGACCATCCGTATGCTGCCCCTTATACTGCCCTTTCTTGGGCTTCTTCTTCTTTGCCTTCTTAGGCTCCTGTGCACTGACTTTCCGCGCATCAATAACCCTCGGATTCTCAAATGCAACATTCAGCAGATCCACGGGCTCCCCCGGGGGCAAGCACTCATGCACGATCCTGGCCAGTACCGTACAGTCCAACCCTCCCGAGAACAGGATCGCCAGCCTCACGCCCCCCTCCCCGCGAAAAGGGATGTCCCGGACACGGGTGTTGACGCTCTCCTTTAAGATTTGTCCGAACTCTTCGATCTCTGAGGAGGTTGGGGGTGAGTCTGCCTCGGCGGAGGTGGAGGCGGCGGAGGTGTCGAGCTTGCCGAAAGGCATTTTCTGGTGGGTGTTAGTAGGCTGGTATAGGGGGCGGTGAGGGGGAAAAGAGAGGGGGGAATACCATATACCTGCTCCCCGCCGTCACATCTTCCTCCCACGCCCACGGCACCACGCCGGTCTCTCCACCGCCGACGAGAACCCACCGAAGCCCATCTGCATCCACCTCACTCCACCCATGCCCGTCACCAACACTGGCGACTACGAGCCCGCGCTCTCCATCGTTCTTCCACAGCAGACTCCGCCGCCCGAGTGCGTCTCGCCCATACCAGAGGCGCCCCGCAACAGCATCCCAATACACCATCGCCCAGGGGCCCTCAACGCGCTCCATCACGGCAGGAACGTCTTCCCCGCCGGCCAGCAGAAGCTGGAAGATGGCAGCGCCGTCGTTGACGCCAGGCTCCAGGGGGGAGCCATTGACGCGCCAGGCTTCGCCGTTCCAGCAGAGGACGGAGCCGGTGCTGGGGTCGACGAGGGGTTGGGGTGTTGTGGTGTCGGTGGGCCCGCGCAGGGAGAGCACGGAGGAGGTGAACGTGAGCGTGTGGGTGTGGGTGGCATGGTGCGTGTGGTGCGTGTGTGTGAGGTCGGGCCCGCGCTGGGAGATGCGGGTTGTGAGTGTTTCTGAGGGGGAGGGGGAGGGGGAGGAAGGGGAGGGGGAGAGGGAGGAAGGGGAGGGGGAGAGGGAGGAAGAGGAGGGGGAGGGGGAGGGTCGAAGGGTGAAGAGGATCCCGCACATTGCGGGTGTGGAGGCGGTGTTTATATAGGGAGAGGGGTGCGGTGCCGAGTGTTGGGGTGGGCAACAACGGCATTGTGCGATAAGCAGGCCCCAGGTCGTCCGTAGCGAGCGCGATAACAAACACCCCGCCACCCCGCCACACCGCTCCCGACAGCATAGAAACAAGCCCGCACCCGCACCCGCAGACAGCAGACAGCAGCCCCAACATGCGTCTCAACCTGCACACCTCGCTCCCCCCGCACCCGGACTGCGCCTGGTCCGTCGCCGTGCACCCCACGCTCCCGCTCCTCGCCAGCGCCTCCTCCGACCGCACCTCCCGCGTCTCGTCCCTGCTCACATACACGCCGCTCTCCACGCTCGACGGCGGCCACAAGCGCTCCATCCGCGCCCTCGCCTGGCAGCCCAACGCCTCCCCCTCCGCACAGTCCTCCACCCTCGCCACGGGCTCCTTCGATGCCACCGCGGGCATCTGGCACCGCGCCTCCTCAACCTCCGAGTCCGCGGACTGGGACTTTGCCGTTGTCCTCGACGGCCACGAGAACGAGATCAAGAGCGTCGCCTGGAGCGCCGGCGGGAACTACCTGGCGACGTGTAGCCGCGATAAGACGGTGTGGGTGTGGGAGGAGCTCGGCGACGACAACTTCGAGACCGTCGCGGTGCTGCAGGAGCACACGCAGGATGTCAAGTGCGTCGCATGGCATCCCAGCGAGCTGTTACTGGCGAGTGGCAGCTACGACGACACCATCAGGCTGTGGCGCGAGGACGTGGACGACTGGGTGTGCTGCTGCGTGCTCGAGGGGCACGAGAGCACTGTCTGGTGCGTGCAGTTCGAGAAGACGCAGAAGGAGGGGGGCGGCGCCAGGTTGGTGAGCTGCTCGGACGACGGCAGTGTCAGGGTGTGGAGGAGGACGGGGAGGACGGGGGAGCAGGCCAGGGCTATTCCGAGTATTTTGAGGGGGAGGCAGATCGAGGAGACGTGGGTGCTCGAGTCGATATTGCCCAAGGTCCACACGAGGGCTGTGTATTCTGTCTCGTGGAGTGGCATCAGTGGGCGCATTGTGAGCTGTGGTGGGGATGGGAGGATCGTGGTGTATGAGGAGGTGCCGCGGACGGAGAAGGAGGGGGAGGAGCAGAAGGCTGAGGGGGAGGAATCAAAGACGGAGTGGAAGGTCGTGGCCGAGTTTGAGGGCGCGCATGGCGTGTATGAGGTCAATTGCGTGGCGTGGAGTAAGCGCTGGGATAAGGACCGGAGGAGCGACGATGAGGAGATCATCGTGAGCTGTGGGGACGATGGGGCGGTGAATGTCTGGGAGCTGGTGGAGTAGAGTAATGGGTTGGTAGATAGACCGGTAGACTCCTAGGTAGGTAGATTGATAGATAAAGCCGGTCTGGAAAAAGTCTTTTGTGTTTTGTTTGAGCTTCAGTAGTATCTGCCGGTGAGCTGTAGTGGTGATTCGTAGTATCTGGTGAGCTTCAGTAATAATTCATAGCTAGCTGAGAAGGGGATTGAGAGCCTGTTTATAATCACAGAGATTCGGGCTTCGTGATCATTTCACCGAGTTGCCTCTGAGCAAAGCTTCCAAGGTATGTCAATGATCGATCTAGACACTGATGTCTATTGAGCTGTAATTGAATGCGTACATGTAGTTTACACCAATAAACCACTGTCCGGACTCGCCAAGCTAGCGCGGAATCCAAATACTTCTCAGCCAGGCCATGCAAGAGCACTAAGGCAATTGAAGCGTGTGGTTGAATGGCCTAGAAGAATACATAAGCTAGAAACGTATACTCGGCCAGCTTTGGTGGATGCTACTGAACAATAGCCTCTTAGGTGGTGTTCCTGATGGGTGGTTCTGGCCTGTTTTCTTGTCTAATGGGTGGGCTGCGGACATATCTACGATATATGTATATGTCACTCATCATAATACTATTTACTAATTCTTGAATGCGCTCTATCAGTAATTTGCTAGTAGACAATGAATGGAGCTGATCCCCGGCCCTACAATCTACGTAACTATAGACCGCCCACAAGACCACTACTAATCACTTCTACCAGACCAAGACCATCACATTCACAGCTACTATCAAAGCACAATCATGGGTATTCTAATTCTTTTTTTTTCCATACCACGAATCCTCACTACAGAAATGACCACAGAAATGACTGTATAGAATCAGCGATACGGAACGAGGAAACAGTAGTAGATCACATTAACTTTTCCACCCCACCCCTAACCCTACCGAATCCTACCCCACAATCATTGACCCTAATCCTCCATCTCATCATCCCCCTCCCCCTCCTGCTCCACACCCCTCCTCACACCGCCCACAAACAGCTCCACCTGGTCCGTGCCCGACGCTTCCTCGCCGGGCCCCAGCGGCACCTGCAGACTGTCGGCGACGCCGCGCAGTGCGCCGTCTCGTAGCGCCACTGTCAGGCTCACGCAGCTCTGCGCGAACTGCGGGCTCTGCAGGACGCGCCGGATGATGTCGCGTTTTTGGGAGTCGGTGGCGTTGCGCGGGATGAGGGCTGGGGGAAGGTTGGCGCAGAGTTGGTCGAGGGAGGCGGCGGGGAGGGTGGAGAGGAGGGAGACGGTGGTGGTGGTGCTGAGGAGGTCGTGCAGGCTGAGGGTGGGGGTTTGTTGGCCGTAGCGGGAGGGGCCGGCGCCGCTGGAGTTGGGGGGCGCGTTGCCGACGTTGATGGAGGAGATGAGGGATTTGAGGAAGTCGTTGGGGTTGGAGGATGGTGAGGTTGTGCTGAAGGGGTTGGGGGAGTCTCTGGTGGTGGGCCGGTCAGTGGGGGTTTTCACGTTACAGGGCACACGGGTGGATGGAGAGGTGGGGAGACATAAGGCTCCTCAGATGTACAGTTGAGGCGCTATAGCGGCCGTATATTCGCCATTAAATCACACGTCCGTAACCCACAGGAAACTGATGTCCTTTTTGATCTCGAGAATTCTGAACAACCAATTTTTGTCGGGCCAGCCCCGCGTGGGAAAGGAAGAAAACAGTGGAAAGGAGAAAAGATGATACAGTGCACCAATTCCCATAAAAAAAATGAAATGTAAAAAAACAAGAAACAGAAACAGCTTGCGGGGCAAAAATCGAAGAAATGCAGATTCATGGGGCAGCACTCAGGGAGGGGAGACCTACGCCCTGCCACCATCAGCACCGCCCCTTCTGCTAGCGTTTCCCTCCTCCTCAATATCGTCACTTCCTAGCTCGGCGTCTGGGTCACCCATCTCGTCATCCTCGTCCTCGACACCCTGGAGGATGTTGTTGATTGTTTCACCCCATCGGCGGTCACGGTTGGACCAATGGCCAGGGTTGCCGTCGGATTCAGACTTTGACTGGAGCCAGAAGAAGTGACGCTGAGATGAGGATGTGAACTTGAGGACAAAGACACGGCCAGTGGTGCAGGCGGTGTACGGGGTGAAGGTGACGTCTTGTGGGAAGATGATCAGGTCGTCCTCAGCTTGGGGCTGGGTGGCAGAACGACGTCTCCAGCAGAAGTGGAGAAGATCTAGCAGAGATGTCAGCAATAACCCCAGAAGCTTAAGCAGGAGAAATATGATGATAATACCATCCTCAACGCTGTTGTAGATGTAAAGAAGACCAGGCTCTGGTGAGGGAATGATCCGGGTACCCTAGGAATTGTCAGCATCGAGAGAGAGCTACGGGTAGATAAAAGTGGCAACTCACAACTTGGGAACATTTTCCGGCTTTGATCGAAATGAGAGGCCTTACTGCAGACATGATGGTTGTGTATGGTGGGGTTGTAGTTGATGGAGATGAAGATGAGGTTTGGGGGGGGGGGGGGGGAAGCATACAGTAAAGTAGAGCTCTGGTTTGGGTGTTCGTTACCCTCCCCGCGCCAAGAGATTAGATGTAAGGCCACGGATAGCGTCACGTATGAGGAAATCAAGAATCAAGATCCGGCCAGATCAAGGGTAGATTGATCTTATCGCTCAACGATCCAATGCTAGAGGTGTATGTAATATTGAGCTAGATTGCACCTAAGGAAATAGGTACATGTATCCTATCTCAGCATCCACGCACTACAGAAGGTCATGTCGTGAGTGTGATGGCCTGGACGGGTATGTATCAGACGTATCGCAGATTTGGCCTTGACGGATCCACAAGATCTAGCTGCCCTCAACGCTCACTATGACAGCTTGGCACTAGTTACTGAGTATAAAAAGCTTTGGTAAGAGCGACAGACGCATTCCCATGGATACACGCACGACCCAAGAGCTAGAGCAGGTAAGGTATCGTAGGGAGGCAGCGGTGCACACTGCTGGATATATATAGATTGACCAACCATGTATCCACCAGTCACAAAAGATCCTCTTGTGCTTTTCCGTGCTCTGTGCGTGTGTGGTGGGTGTGTTCCTTACAGACAGACGAACGTTCCCCTGGGTACAGCACTGTAGGGCTACGGCTTGAGTGAGGTACAGACCCGAATATTAATCGTCGCAAGCCCAAATATTAAATCTCTCTCTCTCCCATCCCTAATCCCACACCCACGCGCGACGAGGGCAAAAAAGAAGAGCAGGCACGGAGAAGGGCAAACGCCAGGTCACATGCCCACACGCGATCCGTGAAGAGCGACAGCCACAGCAACCTCGTTGTATCTGCCCCGACTGCCCTTGTTCTCAGGTCCCGTCGCGGCTCCCTCCACGACCTTTTCATTTTCCATATCGATACCCCCCCTCGACTCCTCCACTCCCGCCCCCCCCCCATCTCCGCCCCCCCCCCATCCTTCCTCTCTGCGCAACAATTCTCCTCTGCCACAACCGATCCACTGGCAGACAGAGGAATACCCCTTCCTTCCTTCCCTAGCCCGCGTCCCCAAGTAACGCGCGCTCATTGAATATTCTGGTCCCCCCCCTGCACTCCTCTCCAACCCTAACCTCAGCCACCCGCTTCCATCCTTTCATTCCATCCAAACTCTACCACCCATTCACTCACTCTCTCTCACATCCACCACCCCCACCTCAACAATCAATAATAAACAACCTTTTTCCCACCCCCCCACCCCCTCTCTCACCATCCCATAATCCTCCTGTACGGTCAACATGAAGCCTCCACAAGCTTGCATGACCACATACCCTGCGCGCTTGCAGACATTTTCAACCGCGCTCATAACGCCCGCTGGTCCCACGCCCACAGGCCCCGCTGGAACCCCCTCGGCAGCAGAGCGGTCGTCTGGCAGAACGAAGCGCGGGAACCAGGTGGTCAGTTATGCCGAGGTGGACGGTGACGATGACTTTGAAAACGATGCGGAATCACGGGCTGCGATAATGGCCGGTCAAGCCGCCGGAGGTCCCCCAGGGGCAATTGGGAGTTTTCCTGGAGTGGAAACAATCAAGAGACCGGTACAACTGCATCCAAAGCTAGTACAGCAAAGATATATATCTGATGTACACAGGTACTACTACCACTACAACTGCCCTTCTCTCCTCCCCCCCCCCCCCCCTCTCCCCCTCTGCTCCCCTCCCAGAAAACGAGTCCTAACCACACAAACAAACACCCAGAACGGAGCATCAGTTGCTCTCTGCATCGGCATTACCTACGGTGCTGATTCCTATACGACTTGACATCGACCTCGAACCTCCATCGCGAGGCCGCCTCCACGACAGCTTTCTGTGGAACTTGCACGAGGTCCTGATCACCCCCGACACTTTCGCACTCACCACCTGCCTCGACCTCGATCTCCCAATACAGCCCTACGCTAGCATCATCTCCACCTCGATCCGGGACCAAATCTCCGAGTATGCCCCTGTCGCCACAATCTCCCTTCCCGAGGGCTCGGGCGAGATGCGCGTCGTCTGCAACCTGAACGTCAACCTCGGCGAGCGCGTCTACGCGGACAAGTTCGAATGGGACCTCGCCGGCTCGCTGACACCCGAGTACTTTGCGCGCGGCGTTGCGCGCGACTTGGGCCTCTCGGGCGAGTTCATCCCGGCGATCGCGCACGCGATCCACGAGTTCTGCCTGCAGAAGAAGAAGGACCTCTGCGAGACTGGGGTGACGCCGGATCTGGAGAACGATGCTCATCGCACGGATGTGGAGGCGGGGTGGCGCCTCGATCTGGAGTCGCTCGGCGCGGACTGGGAGAGTCGGGTGGAGACTCTGACCCGTGAGGAGATTGAGAAGCGGGAAGGCGACCGCGAGAGGGAGATCCGGAGGCTTAGGCGAGACACTGCGCGTCTGGGCGGGGGCGGGTCGTTAATGCCGTTGGTGTGGGGCGCGACTGTGCAGGGCGATGTTGAGGAGCAGATGGGCCGTGGTAGCAGGGTCAAGAGGAAACGGCAGAGGAGTTTGTCGCCTGGGCCGACTGGAAGGGGGACGCCGAGTAGGAGCGCTGCGCCACAGAGTAATGGGGTTTCTAATGGCGGGCTGAACGAATGGGAAAAACAAAATTGGAGATGTGCTTGGTGTGGCGTATCTGGCACTGGTACATGGGGCGTCCGCGAAGGTCCAGAAGGACAGAAGGTACGCACATCCTTAATATCTTAATATGCTCTTGATAAGGATACATAAACTAATAACTTTAATAGACATTATGTTTTAATTGTGGAACAGCATACGCCGAAACTGCACAACTACCTGAATGGTCAAAAGGACTACACGCTTACGCGCAGCAGCGGCAATAGGGCTATCATTAACTAACTACAGGGGGGGGAAAAAACCAAAATGTCACGGAAAAACTTACAACCGGGAGGAAGGGGCATGGTAGGACGGGTGGGGAATGGTGTTATTCTTTTTTTTCTTCCTTTTTCCCTTTTTTCTCTTTCTTCCCTTGCTTCTTCAGTGCGACTGGTAGACATATCTTTACTAAAAAAGTACTACTTAATTAACTTATCGTTGGCTATCTATCCTCTCTTCCACCCCTCCCCCTTTTACCACTTCTTCTTCTTCTTTCTTCTTCTACTTCTTCTGATTCTTCTTGGGTCTTCCTTCTGTTGTATTGGAGACTTGGCTTACGATATTCTCTTCTGTTCTGTCCTGATGTTTGAAACACTTTTGGCCACTTTCTTCTCTCTTCTGCTTTATCTGGGGGTCTCGATTTTCATTTCCATCTTTTCTTTTCTCTACTTTTTCTCTTCTTCTTCCACCCTACACGGGGGCCGGTTCAGGATGTGTCTGTGTGTGTGTGTGTGTGCGTCTGGTTCTTCGTTATTACCTTCTAAAGAGGCTTTTACATCTTCTGCGCGAAATTACGCTCTTCGTTCTCGTTGTCTTTTTCTTCCCGTTCCTGCCGTTCTGGGTCCTCTTCTCCTTCTGTACGGGCGAGGGGTTAGGTGGCGCGCGGGGGGACGAGGGGGTGCCCGGTGCGGTACTGCGTGGTTTTGGTGCGGTGCGGTCACGATTAGATGGCTAGCTAGCTAGAGAGGGAATGAAGGAGGGGGAATGGGCAAGTTGTACGATAGTCGGGTTGGGGGGGGGGGGGTAGGTTAGTCTGCGGAAAAAATAAAGAAGAGAAAAATTTATGGGCTTTTGGTGTTGTGGTCATTGTGATGGTTGAGTGAGTGCGCGGAAGTCGGAGAGAGGGTCAATATGCGCCGAGGACTGCCGTCATGGTTTGTCGTTTTCTTGACGGGAGGATGGTGATTCGTCTGGTATGAGCTTGATGTGGTGATCATGGATTATCACTCGGTGATGTAGTGTGTAGTCCGGTGGTAAAACTAGGGTTTGGAACGGCAGTAGAAACAATTTTTTTGGTTCTGCGGAGGGTTCCGGAGTTGGGGTTTTGTTAGTGCCCGTTGAGTAGTACCGAGGTTGATAGCTTAGGGATTAAAGGTTGGCCCACAGCTGGAAAAACTGTAATTGTAAGCGTGGAGGTAAGCCTACTCGACTAGCTGGCTCTTGCTCGGTATGTGCTAGTGGACACGACAGCCGAAGAAGTGGTTGGCGCGCGCGGCTGGTCACAGCAAATCACTCGCTCGCAACATTAAATCTTGACAATTATTTAATTACCAAATTTAGCTATTCTAAACTTTAAAATACATTCTAAGAAAGGAAATGTGTCAAGTTATCTACCCATATGCACCCGCCCTTCATTCCCGTTCGCCCATGAATCAATCGGTATCCCACTTGATATCGTACACATACGTCGGCTCTGTTTTACTGTTCAGCGCCTCCAAGCTCTGCGCATATCCGTCCACTCCCGGCATCTTGGTGTGGCTCCAGAAGATGCTGGAGATGTTCGCCGTCGGGCTGAGACCCTCTAGCGAAATTCCGGTCTTGCCCTTGCTCCAGACGGTGGTATCTCTGACCCGAATCTTCGACACGGGCCCGGCACCGTCCGACGCGGCCGGTGTGCCGTCGGGCTTGTCGGTGATGATGAATCCGAGCCAAGTGCTGCGGCCCTCGAGCTCCATGGTGATGCGCTCGACTTGCATGAGCTTGAATGTCACGTCTTTGATGTAGGATGTTCCCCACTGTTTTTCATTAGTACTACTCTATATCCGGGATGCTAAATGAAGGGGAGGTGCTTACAGCGTGATGGATTCCAAGTCCGACGGCGGCATCATAGACAACGCCGTTCTGGAAGGTTATGTTCAAGTGGGGCATCTGCACTCCCTGGCCAATCTTGAACGCGAAGCATCTCGTCCACGAAAGATTGTCGTCGAAAAGCACGTTCTGCACCGCCCTCGCTGCAGGAAGGACGTCGTTGTATTTCGGGAAGATCTTGGTGTACGCCTTGGTCGAGTACGGGTCGTCGAGCGAGATTGCGATCGTGTGCCTCACAACAACGTCCACGCTCTCAAGAACATCAATTCCGTCGTTCTCACTCATCCACAGGGAGTTGAACCACTTGATGTTCTGGAACAAGAGGTTCTGCGACCTCATGGGAATGGTCGACCAGGATGAGGATTCCTTGATGACGATTCCGTCGACCATGAAGTGGCTTGTGGCGATGGGGACGAGGATGTTGTTGTTGATCTTTCCAACGTTGGTGCCGTATTTGCCGTTTCCGTCGAGAGTTCCACGACCATAGACCTTGATGTTGGTGCTGTTAAAGTCGGTGCGGATCCACCATGTTACGTCGCGGCCCTGGGAGCTCTTGTACCAGTGCAGGGTGTAGTCCGACTTCACACCCGTGAAGCGTAGAAACGACCCGGCTTCGAGGTACAGCTCCGTGTTGGACTTGAGGACAATGTTACCGATGAGATAGAGACCTTTGGGGACGTATACGGTTACTCTGGCCGGCAAGCCGCTGACGCCATTACTTTTGGCCGCCGCCCAATCTGCCGCCGCTGTGTCAATTGCACTTTGTAGAGCAGTTGTCGAGAGCTCTGATCCTGTTGGGTCTGCATTGAAGGGTTTCGAGAGGATGTTGTAGACGTACGAGGCGGACTTCACGGGCTTGTTGGTCTCGAGCTTGTCGGCGGCAATGACCAGTTCTTTGAGGTTTCCGATCTGGACAATGAGGTATTCGTCGCTGGGGATGGTGAAGGAGACGCAGCCGGTCGATTTTGTGGGCGTGATGCCGAGCTTCTTAGGCGAGATGCGGACGTTGGTGAGGTCGGTGTCGTCGGGGATGGTGATTGCGATCCAGGTGGGCTTGCTGTCCATGGAGAAGTGGGCATAGTCGTATTCATAAAATTGCATCACGGGGATATCGGTAGACCCTACATTGAGGTTGAACAAGGTTGAGCTGTTGTAGATGGAGGGGAAAGTGTAGGCTGCGATACTGCCCGCTATCGGGGCGACGCTGGGAACGGGGCAACCCATTGTGCTGGTGGGATTGATCAATGAGGTTAATGATCAATAGAGCTAATTGTGGTAGCTGTGAAGCCCTTTAATCCGGGGGGGGGGGGATCAGGGCGTATTTAAACGCCGTGGATCATGATATATCCGGAACCAAATAGTAGAAATATATTACCGCATGTATTAACACATTGGTAGCTAGGGACTACATGGTTGTTACTAGTAGGCTGTGCTACACATGCACATCAAACATTCCAAAAACACGGACGAATGGTCTGTTTTGTAGCGCGCATTCTACAAGGAGTTAGTTGGCCTTGCAGTACGTCTACCAATAGTAGAAGAAAGCAATATCAAAGAACCTGGGTGATCCCTCATTTTTCTGCGGAGGCTCCGGTGAGTCCGGGTCCTAGAACCCCCTAGGGCTATTGAAAGTACCAAGACTTATTAGCATCATGCCCGGTGTGACAGCAGAAATTATAAGAGGTTAGATCTGGTTACTGGGGTAGCAGAGAGGTTGGCACTCACATTCCTCAGGCCGGATCGGTAATAATATGTGGAGTGGAACGTTTAACAATTTCCAACAGAGGGTAAGCTTCAAGATGTTCCACAAAAGTAGAATGACTGTGCAGGAAATTAAAGGATTCCAAGTCAATCCTGGTTTTAGTGTAGTAGAGTAGCTGCGCCACTGTCAGTCATATTCAACTAAGAGGAAATCCTTTCTTGGCATAAGGCGATATACATGCATGTCAACTACTGAGCCGTTTAACTGCAGATAGTTGGTAGTTGAAGTATCTAATGGAGTTCAAACTGGGCATCCGTGTCTAGGGTTTTGTATGAGCCGCTTGGAGGGGGAAGGAGTGATTGGGGGGCCTTGAGTGTAGATAGGTTAAATCAGCACATACTTCATCTTATCGGATGCCACGAACTAGACTTCAGTACCGCCGCGGTATTCTAGGGTTCGGATTTGTAATTCGGCACTTTATAATCGACAAATCTCGTAATGGTATAATATCTGCTACATCCCCTTTTGGCACTATAGTGTAGGAAGCTTTGTCGAGCGGTAATTGATGGTATCGAAGGTAAGACACAAACCCCCAAATTTCGCTCCATTTTGACCAAGAGAAGCTCACAATATAGATACATATATCGCATGTGATCATGAGCCATTGTTTACCGTTAGCAAGTATGCTATCTCAGGTCGACTGTGGTATCGTTCAGTGGGCCCGGCGCTGCCTGGCTCGAGCTTTCTGAATCTGGTCGAATCAGTAGGAACCAGCAGGAATTTTGAACAAGATAGCCGCGCCATTCCTAGTACTAAAATTACTAATAAGAACGGAAAGAATAGAGAATAGTTATATAGTATTCGGAGACCTCGTGCGGAATGGATTAGTTAGTCAGGTGTCCGCGGCGGGTTGATGGTGCATAATTTATATATAGCAAGCATCCAGATTGGTGCTTCCCGCTGCCATCCCTCTCATCCTCTGACAACGCCTCGTCAACACCGCCAAGACTTGACGAGAGCGGGGTATCCTCTCTAATAAAGACTTTTCTTTGGCTTCACCACCAAAGATTAGTCGCACCGATCCTTTTCCTCCCATGACTCGGGTCACATAAAAAGGAGTGACATTTCGCACGATCGCCTGGAGAGCCTTCGTCAACCTCATCCTAGTTCTTGTCTTCATTGACAAGAACCCCACCACTCTGGGGACCTTTCATACAGGTCCCTTTCGGTCGCAAACACTACTCTCACTTCGAGGCAACACGCCCTCACCAGCACAACCAAAGTCCCACTGAGGGCACCTCGGCATGATGCCACTGTCAGACTTTTGTTTTGCTTTTTTCATTTGTGTTATTTGGAATTTTTTTTCATTTTTTCTTAGGCGGGGGTTTCCTTAGTCATCAACCTTGTAAGAGGAGTGCGGTTGGTAGCATACCATAGTTACTATATCTGGGGGAATCGGCATTGGGGATAGGTCTTTACGCCATAGTTTATACTTTATGCGGAGCTTGTACCTAGAAACAATAGCACTTGATATAAAAAAAAAAAAAAAAAATGGTGCTTCCCGCTGCATTTCATACACAGCACATACACGACACGTCCCCTGGCTTGGCTCCCTAGAAACATCAAGATAGCAGCTTATTTTTCGTTACCAGAAGTATTGGCTGCAGCTGGCCCCATACGCATAAGAGACATTTTTTTTTTTTTTTTGGGATATCGATACGTAGTATTCTCCGCAAAAATGGTTGGGTTGACGAGATCTAGTACGTGTAAGCTTTCCACTTGTACTTGATTATTATTTGAGTAAGGGCGTGTAATACTCTAGGTCTACCATAATTGATTGCAGAGCATTTAGATTTTTCTCTTAGCCTTCATACTAGTAGTAATGGCAGAAAGGCTGCAGGAACGAGAGAGCAGATGATACTGTCGGATGTTTCCTCCCTCTAGATCATGGTATACTTTTGTCCCTAAAGAACGGCCTGAGCTCTTTGCGCTTGATATACCATCCAGTTAATTTAGCTGTACTCTAGGTATATAGATGCATGCCTTTAGGTGGTCGTTGGGTCGTACTACGTACTATTCAAGGGGTTGTTGCATTAATAATGTCATCCAGACCGCCGGTTCAAAGTTGTTGGTTGAGTGCAGAATACGTACAAGTAGGACGTACTTAGTAGCAATGCCCTGCAGAGGGTTTATGCCATCCCCGGGTTATTGCCAGCCAAATGTTGCCAGGCTAGCTCAGCAGGCATCCCCTTAGGTTTAAAACACCAAAAGGCGGCCTGTAGCTTTGTGGTAAGAGCAGCCTAGTGGTTAAGATACTTTCGTATCTCACACTTTGAGTCTAACCGACCGGACTGGGAAAGAGTATGGTAACTCAGCGACTAGTACCGATGATGGGAGGTTAGCAGTTCGATTCCCGACTCCCTCAACCTTGGATTGGGACCCTTGGATGAGAAGAAAGCAGCCTGGCGAGCGTAAGTCTTTTGTTATAATTTTTAAAAAATAAAAGAGTGGTTTTGGACTACTTTCCCTCCTGTCCATTATGGGCATCGGACCCCCCGGCCCCTTCATCGCTGAACTATTGGCAAATAAAGATTGAGCTTGATCTATGACACTGTGGTATAAGGTACCTACTACATCACTAATTTTCTTTTTGTAGTGTCTGTTCATATAGGTCTGTACGTATTCTCTTCACGAAATATCACTCGATATAGATACAAACCATCCGTCCACCGAAATAGTACTAGAAAACTATTTAAAGTCCCCAAGATCACTCTTATTTTCTATCTCTGACCCTCTTGCAACCCACAATCGCTTCGTATCCACCTCTTTACTCTCGGGACCGAAATAGCAAACCTCCAATCTACCCCTATCTGTGCCTATAAGCAGTACCAAAATTCCTATCTCGCCTTTCATAGCCTCTAAATCCTTCAAATATACAACGTTTCTTCTTGGTGAATCCAAAACTGGTGAGCGGTACGATATCTTCATGTCTGTTATCCTCCCCCCTGTGGCGGGTGGGATGCGAGCGAGCTTTTTGAAAGCCGTGGGTGGACAGGTACATTTTAGTTTGATCCTGCGGAATCCAGAGTCGGAAGATCTACAGGCAAGCTTGCTGGAGTTGCAGAGGGGAGGGAAGGAAATGTAAATTTGGCCCTCCGCTGTTGCAGTGGCGATAATGGGGTGGGTTGAGTGCCAGGGGATGCGTACGGAAGTCGTATGCGCGGGTATGGCGTGTGGATGGGGATAACGGCGCTTCGGCATGAGCGTACAGGGCTTATAGAGTTCTTCTTCGGAGTGGTAGAGCTTGAGGTAAGTAAGTGAATAATCAGAGCAATCAAGACCAAAGTAGAGAGATGTGCTGCTGTAGTCTTCACAAGCGGTCAAGTCTGTGTACGGGAGTGTAGATAATGAACTTAAAAGTTCGATAGGTTTGATGTCGAGTGCGTCAATTTGATCGGGTTCAAAGTGGCATATAAAAGAATCCTCGGGGTACCCCCCATTCTTTGATCTGCTCGGCTGTTCTTCCGTCTTAGAAAATGGAGTACTGCCACAAATGATATAGAAGGTGTCCAGGTTCAACTCGGTTTGCCTGGAATTTCTTACAAATATCCTTTCGATTGGTGACCCCCCTGATAAATGATATGCCTTCTCCACAATGGTCTGCTTATCCCAGTAAGTCCACTTTGAATCCCCTTCTAACACTTTCTTTAGCTTGTGCTCTGAAATCCCCTCATAAACCATTAAATGCCCCTCTGTCGCAAAGATAATCTTTCTACTAGTTTCTTCTAGTTTCGCGAGTATCGGCTTTTCGTTAGGAAACATAGATCCAATGCCCGAAAATCCCAAGCTGTCATAGATATACCATCTAAGTACTTGTTTGAAAGTCCTCCGTTTGAATAATTTCTTTGTACGTGACGGCGAATCCTCGACCAATTGTTGGCCTCTTGGCATTGAACGTATTTTGAAGAGCTCTGCCAAACCACCCTCAAACAATACAAGTACGTCTACACCTTTGGTGTATGAATTTGTAGCCTGGTCATACCTCACACCGCCAAATAAAGCAGGTGAAAAGGACGCGGAGACAACTTTTCCATAACATGGCCTTCGCAACGCCACCATATAAGTTGGTGTCGAGTCCCATTCATGAAACCCCAAGGCACCACTTCCGGGTTCCCATGGGGCATGTTCAGACACACCTTTGAACCTAGGAGTAGGATTTTTAATCTGCGATCTAAGCTGAGGGGCTTCGAAGTCGTTGGCTAGGACTGGTCGGTAGGTACCGTAGATATGGACATGGTAGGGAGGGGCTCTTTCGGCGGATAAAAAGTAGTGGCCAGTCTCCGAAAGATGGATTTCAGGGGGGATTTTAGAATTAGGCTGCTCCAGTTGGATTGTAGAGACTAGATATTCGGGGAGTATCCCCTTCCCTAGATTTTTATAGAGGTGCGAAACGAGTGTCTCTAAGTTATAGTTGGGAACATCTGAGGTTCCTTCAACGATTCCGTCCAGAAGTAGGGTGGATATGTGTTTTTTTTATAAGCGGAGGATAAACCCCAGCATAGCGCCAGGAAGCGCAGACTTTCGTAGCGGTGTAGAAGTCTTTGGGAGTGAGATAAGTGAAGATTTCATGAAGGAGCTCATTAGGAAGATTTGCGGCTGGAATCGTAGATTGGAGGATGCGCGCCTGGACAAGTAATTGTTGACGGCGAGTTGGGAGGAAGGTAGAAGCTTTTTCTCTGAGAGTTATACAGGTATTGCTGAGACGAGTGAACTCATCCGTTGATAAGTAGCTGAATATGTGTTCAAGGATGGGAGGGGGGAGGGCAGTCAGACGGGATTTCTTGATTTGTGGGAGAGTGGATTTGGAAGGCTTGAATAACAGGGAAGTACTGTAATTATAAGTTACTATAGATGCCTAGCTTATCGATTAGCAACTTGGGTACTCACATTGAACGTATATAGGCCATGTCTGCTTTTACGGTAGGTCATCACAGTACCTTAATCTGAATCCATCTGTTGTCCTATTAAGGCACCTTTATACCTCGAGCCCCTCCACAACCCCACACGGTGCAGCCACACGGTGCAGCCGCACTCGTGTGGGTTAACACAAGCTCGGAATCAGCCGCGAGAGCCGTGAATACATGTATTTTTCTAATCGATTGTATATGGTCCACTTTCTTCTACATTGTATCGACCCCTCCTATAGCTACAATGTATTTTACACATACTAAGTAGCTAATGGTCCCGTTACTGGTTCTCGTCTTTAATTTCAAGTTACTTGCGTCCGAAACACGATATAATACAGCAAATAGAAATCTTTCTTAATTGTTAAACAGAGTGGGCCGAGTGGGATATTGACCAAGTTGATGTTAATTGCGTTCTCAGGAATATTCTCGAGACAATGTAACGAGGATGAATTGTATTTCGTGGACAGTAGCGTAGGCCGGCTGGAAAGGCAGGCGTTAAGTGTTGTGCCGCCATGAGGATTGGGGTGGTATACACATATACTTTATTAAAAGTTATAAAAGTATGAGCTGATATAAACTAAACAGCACTGCGTTCCCTCCGTGGTACCAATATGCTACTAATAATCCTCTTTATTTTCTCTTGGGTAGACAGAACAAGGAGTACGGGTGCTGTGATGTATGTACTGTAACGTGCAAGGAGGGAAGGATGAATGATGATCTTAACAAGCAATAACTGGGCCCATCGGGCTAACTGCTTTCAACTGTAGTTAAGTGATACATGTAGTGACCATGGTATCGGGCCGGTGATATGATGTGGATGCGTGAACTTGGCCTTTGTCTTGTCATTCGAATTCAGCTAACCCAAAACTACAAATTACTACTACAATCTCCTTTTTCTTTTTTGTAATATGGGTATGATATAAAATTAAGACACGACATACAAGTTTATCCATTTAGATAGTTAGACTTTAATAATAAAAATAAACTTCTGCGGTTGTTTACCCCAAAGCTCCAACCCAACTCCATGATAGCCCTATCACGGTGGTACATGTATATACCCAAACAAGTCCTCAGCTTTCATTCCTACCGATTTCTTCCTCCCTTACCCATGTACTCCCCACGTTCCCACACGGAATATACCTAGGGAAAATTATTTCTTTTCGCCTGTCAATTTTTCGATAGTAGCTTTCACTGTTTCTCACCCCGTCAGCACCCAATGCTCAACATCCTCAGAGATAGGCTACAAACCGCCGCCGAAGGCCTGCTTAACCAAGGTTGATCCACTTTCCGCCTCCTGCTTATTTGCGAGTCGTTTCGCAAATTCACTCTGTTCAGCCGGTCGCTCGTTACTATTGCTGGATCCGGACTCTTGGTTGGTGGAAGCAGATTTCTCGTAGGCCTTAGCGAAGTGCAAGATGCCGGCTTCCGCTACGGTTCCCCAGTTTATTGGGTTTGCTTGTCCAGTTTGGCTTTGATTGTTGTTATTTTGAGGGTAGTTGGATTGGCTTTGGCTTGAGTAACTTTCGTTGCTGTTGTTATTGTTGCCATAGCCTGAGCTGTTGGATTGCTGATTGCCGTACTCCTCACGGTTGTGCTGGGTGTTTCCGTACTCACCCCCGCGATTGTTGTTTCCATATGAATCGTCACGCTTGAAGTTGTTCTCAGAATCATCTCTACGGCGGTTATTATTCCCGTATGATGAATCGTTATTACCCCCGTATTCCTCACGGTTGTGTTGCCGATCCTCGTTACGATCTCCGAATTCTTCCCTGCGGTTGTTGTTTCCATAGCTGCCATATTCCCCTCCACGATTAGTATTACCGTAAAACTCATTACGGTTCCCGAATTCCTCTTCGCGATTGGAATTGTTTCCGTACCCATCATCGCCGCCGCCGTATGGTCTTCCGCCGCCGCCCCCACTCTCACGTTCACGGTATGTTCCGCCTATACCACTATCACCTCCTCGTCGAGACTCATGGCCCTCGTTGTTGTTTCTACCGTAGCCCTCGTTCCCCCTATCTCTGTCACCGAAAGAGTCTTCGCCGCCATAGCTGTCTCGCCCTTCTTCGTCATGCTCGCCAGAGCGTCGTTCTCGATGCCGGGAGGAGTGGGCTCTGTCTCGATCACGTTGGATATCACTGAACCCGCCGAATGACATTGTTAATAGTAAAGCTTTCGGTGGTGGTAGGATCTACGTGTTGGGTATGGGCTTGATTGATTGAACCGATGTGAGGTGATGGGATGGGATAGGTGTTATATTGATCAAATTAGTGGAGAAGAAGGAAAGAAGGAAAGAAAGGGGTAGGATTGATGATGATGCAGCAACTACTAAAGCAACAACTTGACTTGATGCAGACAAGGAAAGGTAGGAGGATAGCAATGAGACTCTCAGGACAGCTGGGGGGACATCACGTGATAAACGCTTTCAGGGATCGGGAACTGGATTGGAGGGGTTCGGGAAGCTTCGACGTCATGAATCTGATAAGATCAAGCTATTCTTAGATGCGGATCATATTTAGGATGCACGACAGTTCATGAGAATCTTGCGTGCCCCTTTTCAATTATATCTATGTAAGTGAAAGATATTTCCAATCGTTTAGTAGGGGTGCTTTACTCAATAACGGGAGTGCGGGGAGGCATCACGCCAAGCTTTAGTTACATGTATGTACATGTAGTTCTAGAGTAAGTAGTAGAGATATGAGTGAAAATTACATACTCTACGACTACATACGTATTTACAATCTTTGAAAATTCCGCAGAACTGATATTAGGTACGTACTGATGCGGTATAAATTTTACCCCCATTTCTGGCACTGTATCTACAACGCTGTACCGCACATGATCTAGAGCTACATACATGTAGTTCCGACACTTTTCAAGTACATAAGATGTACATGTAATCAAGGAAACAAGGTTTCTAATCATCGTACTACAAAACTTAAATGATAATACTGTGCCCCTTGGCTAGACTTAGCGGAAAGCTTTTGAGTGATCGAGGTATATTTAAGTTGGAAATCCATGAAAATTACCAGTGACCCAAGAAACTTATTTGGCAATTGGGTGGGGAACATATACATACATGATACGTACTCAAATACTTTGTACATGTAGCTTATATCTTTTTTGAGTACGTAACCGTTTGCGGGTGTAAAGTTGGGAGAAACATACGTGTATTAGTGCTTCGAAGTGCTCTATAGAGAGAAACGGCATTCTGTCCTCTCATCTATAGCTGTCCTCCCATGATCTATCCGCCCTCTCATCCATCTGTCCTCTCGTCCATCTGTCCATCTGGCTTCTTAGATCGAAGCTATAAAAGCCATCCATTCCCTCCCTTTCCTCTCTACATCTTCATCCGTTCATTCTTCACTCTCTCAATCTCCTACATTTCGAATCAGTTCTACGTTCTTTCATAATTTCCAATCACTTGATAATCTTATCACAATGAAGTCAATCACTATCATCTTTACTCTTCTTTTTTCTACTGCCCTCGGCGTTATCATGCCTACTTCCACCAACTCTGCTACTCCCTCTGGAGGAGTTGAAGCGGAGAAAGCTCGTACTTATGTCAAACCGAAGCCTTCTACTAAGGCATCTTATGGTGGGCCTAAGAATGGACATGGGTGCTCAGAAGATACCACCACTACCACTGTGAGTATTTTTATCTTCATATTCTATAAATTGGGTCATCTACTGAGAGTCACTGCTTCAACTACTCTAGCTCTTCCGTTTTACTAGCACCTACTCCGTCGTTGCTACTGCCGATCAGGTTGTCAACGCTACCGACATGCCTGCCATGGGGGAGAAGAATGCAACTGGATATTTCAACTATGGAATCAATAGCCACGAAGATGTTATCTGCTATGTAAGTCTACCAATTATTTCTATTTTGCTAGGGTTCGATGAAAGTGACTAATGCTGTGCTTCATAGAACATCACCCTTCTAGGAGTTACTGGAGACTACCAGTCTCCGGCTTTCACTGCTACCCATATTCATCAAGCCATGAGTGGAAAGGCTGGGCCTCCTCGTATTGCTTTTCCAAACCCCGTAAGTGTTTGCCTCTTTAGCGATTCCTATCCCCTCATAATCTCCTTTCTTATTTAAACTGGCTTTGTCTAAATTAAGTAATTTTCAAACGTAGATCGGGAATGATACACGTCGCAATTCTGTAGGTTGCCTCAAGGGACCTTTCAGAACTGGAATCATCGCCAATGGCTTCGATACTGGCGAGGGTTTCTTCGTGCGTCAAATTGAAGCTAATCCAATGGGTTTTTTCACCGATGTTCATACGAGGAACTTTCCTGCCGGAGCTTTGAGAGCTCAGCTTGAGAGGAATCTGGATGGAAGTAAATATAGTTGGTGAAAAATCACTCTCTGTGATCTATAGCACGAAGAAAAGATATTGCTTTGTAAATACCATAATTAGCTAAATTGGGATGCCAGGAGGCTACAGGAGGATTGCATGCATGTTAACAGACTTCAAAAAAAACCTGTTAGCCTATATAACACATTGCATCATTATATCGAGGCTTTCTTCTGTGCTTAGACGAGACCCTAGACTAATCAATAGAGAACGTACCTTTTTATATACTAAGTCCAGCTAGATACACATGAGCGCAATATGAATTAAACAAAAAAACGAAAAACACATGAGCGCAATCACAAATTATCACTCGCCCTCTCAGAGAGGCGAAAAGCATGGCAGTGACTGGCTTGTTGTTGCTTTTAATTCATTTATTGCATTAGCAATGACTGACTGATTGATTGGTAATTCATTCGTGTAAAAGATGCATAGCAAGCTTAACGAGAGAGGAGGGTGGGGTCAGACATAAGGAAACAGAAAGATAACAGAAATGGGAGGAGAGGCAGTCAGAATGCATGTATTTTCGTACTCAAGAAAAAAAACCACATTTACCCTTATTACCCAACATCACTGACTGAGGATGGGTAAACTGATAATGTGCAAAGGCTTGAAATATAATGATGGAGTTTTATTACGGAGACGTTTCATGATGGGCTAGAAGGAACAGAAGGTGCTTGAGTAACCGGAGGTTGTCCTTATGTTCTCATTTGTCACTAAGCGATACATCTACTTGACTGTGCCTGATCAGATAGCCCGACCTACTCTTGAACAAGGTGCCGTGTACCTACTATATGTCCATACATGGATGTCGGTACTCTACCTCCGGACAAAAATCCGAATTCTAGATTGGTTGGCTACATCTAGTTAATCTTTCGAGCCCAGAGTTTGCTAGTTGCAAGAACTCTGCGTAAATATACACTAGGTGGACAATTCGTTCATAGACGCTGACTCGACTGTATTTGTCCTTTAGGTACGTAACAAAAAAGATTAGAGCCCCCGGAATCCAAACACACCGCCGCCATAACCTCTCGTGAAAAACTAATGCCTTCTAAGATGTATTAGAGGGATAAAAGTAAGCCGCATGAAGCTATAGAAGTGCTCCAATTGTCCCCCTCCCTTGCACCCAGCCTTGTCTTCCGTTGATGGTGTTTCGATGAGTTACATAGCTTGTACATGTCCGGTTCGGAGGCGATAGAGGTCGGCCCGGCGGGGAGGGGTTAGAGGGGGGAGCTTTGGAGATGATGGAGTGGGATAAAACGAGTTAATTAAGCGGGGAGACGTATGGCGAAGAGAGAGACACACTGTATGGAGCAGGGATTAGGTTAAGGGTTGGGAGTTTCGATTAGCTACCCTGGTCCGATGACCCCCCCCCCCTCCAAACCGAAAGGTACATCTCTGAAAGATTACCAATGATGTATGTAACGACGGTCTACATTCATTGATCGTTCATTAGCACTATGTGTAGTGCTGTGCATGTGTTGGCGATCCGATGGGAGTATTCCAAAGAATAGGGGAAAGATAGAGAAGAAACCTCTGTAATTTTTATCTTAATTATAACCCGCCACGACAAAAGACTTACGCTCGCCAGGCTGCTTTCTTCTCATCCAAGGGTCCCAATCCAAGGTTGAGGGAGTCGGGAATCGAACTGCTAACCTCCCATCATCGGTACTAGTCGCTGAGTTACCATACTCTTTCCCAGTCCGGTCGGTTAGACTCAAAGTGTGAGATACGAAAGTATCTTAACCACTAGGCTGCTCTTACCACAAAACTACAGGCCATTTTTTGGGCTTCTGAACCTAAGATCTTCGCTTCGGTACTTCGAGCTAGCTTGGCGCCGTATCCTATGACATTTGATGCAGACCCTCTTGGCGTATACCAACAACACCTGCCTACTTAGATGGATCGATGGATATCACCAAAGCGAGAGTGACTGTATCTGCTCGCCCTATATAATTCTCTTGATGGGTCTTTCCCAGCCCTGAAAGGCAATATCACCTGATATAACCGATACAACAGCAGCGCAGATCCACCGAGTGATCACCCATGATCGTGTGATGCACACCGCTTACCAATTCTCCAACAACCAACCAACCAACCCGGGTCTCGTCATGTACCTTTCCGCAACTATTATCATTATAGGACGAACGTACATGGCGGAGGGGCGCTGGATGTTTCTACCCGCAAATGTTATAGAGACGTGAAATCTCTGCTGGCCCCGGCCCGGGAAGAGATCGATCTCATACCCGCAAGGTTATATATCTGGGGGAGGGTATATCGCGATATCGACTTTTAAAACTTGGCTACATTATTGCGGAATCTCCGGCATATGGGAGGAGATTAGACTTCTGGTCTGATATTCTTCGTCATGGATCGTTACGTAGCTACTACTATGGTCCGAATGTGTGCAGGATATATGCCTCTTGGTTGGATTCAACAGACGGACACTTGCAGCTAGATACACACAGATATGGATAACGGGAGCATCTGATCGACGATGGACAATTCTAGAGGACTCGACCCCTCCGTCCGCTTCCGGGAGGGTTGGGGGTGAGGGATCGGGGTATCTTCTCGACTGTTCGCTACAGCTAGCTGGTTTATAGCTAGGTGTATAAAAAGACGAGCATTGAGAGCTTTCTCCTGGCTCACTCCTTCAAACAGCTCCCACCAATTTTACCAATCCTTTCTATTTATCCAAAATGAAGATCTTCTCGAACCTAGTTTTCCTCACCGTCGCCGTGCTCTCCAGTGCCCTCATCATCAACGCTTCGCCCACAACCCGCACGGCACGAATCGTCACTAACAAGCTGGAGCTTGCAATAGAGCAGACAAATGATGTTGACGAGCTAGTTAGCAATACTAACCTCTATAATATGTTTGTCAATGCACCTGTATGTTGTTCCTGTCTATGACATGACTATGGTAGCTGATTGTATAACCTATATATGAAGCTTGTCGGGATCCAGCTTGCGGAGGTTATTTGTACTCTGATCAGCCTTTCATTAACCCTCACCAATGTGGGCCCCTGAACTTCCTCATCCCAATACTAATACTAACATGTGCGCCTCCCTTCAGACTGACAACAGCTTCTCGTCAATTGATAGCGAAGAAATCTTTAAGCGCATGCTCATTGTAGCACACCCCCTCTCGCTCCCCCCACTCACCTGAAACTAACATATCGTATATATAGCTCACCAGTAGCCAGAACGCGCTCATGGACCGGCTCTCTGGGCGCTTCGGTCTACTCTCGAGCTTCAGTTACTCAGAGCCCGTACGGTTCTCGATCGTAGTTCTCGCCACCACTGTCCAGGTACATAACATTCCCCACCCTCTCTTCTATTCGCTGACGTGGAGGGCCATGTAGCAACTCGCGGAGAATACCATCCGCCTGATCCCGGCGCGGAAACAGGAGCTCGAGGACACGTTTATGGGCGTGAGGAAGGACTACCAGAAGGTAATGAAGAACTACTCGGGGTATAAGCGGGCTGGCGATTTGTAGTTTCTAGGTGTTGCTTTGTGTGGAGGGTGAGGGTCGAATTTGGATATAGCTTATATGGAGGGGTGTGGTTTGGTTTATGAATAGTGTATCAGTACGTAGTGGTGAGAATTTATCTTTGAGTGTAGTCGGTTCCTACTGTGTACTTGTAAGAGTTGAAGGGGCGGTTCGCTTAGGTTTGGCCAGGTCATGTCATATCACTCGGGAGCCAACCACGGCCCCTAGCCCTAGCTTTGACATAAACGACCCGCTGAGATATACGTAATCCTTAAGGGGATTATAGATAACTTGCAATTGTGCTACGAGGCTTCACTTCTTTTTCGACAATATGATATATTTTTTAAGCTATCTCACACTCTACAAGACCTCTATACTAAGGATGCACAGTAGGCCTATAGCTATTACAGTCCCACAGGCAATCCTCGCCAAACAAGAATTCCACCACTAAAAACTCCCGGACCTAGGCCTAGGAACTATCGCAACTATCTATATCTCCGCCATCGCCACGCTTTGGTTCATCTTATATCAAAGATGTACGTGATCTTTTGTGATATATCTAGGTGAGATTTCGGCATGTGGTTAATAGACATTAGGTTCCCGCGGCGTCACGGATCTAGTACGTATCTAATAGTAGTATAGAGAAACATCTAAAGGTGGAAACCACTCAGCGATACGATACTCGAACAGGTCCAGGCGAGACCCACAATTCGGATAGGTTCGCACGTCTACTCTATGCCAGCATCTACGAATGAACCATCCGGGACGAGATAGAGAGCACAATGTGCACATAGTATCCTAGCATCTGGCCTGCACTCAAACAACTTGCCCGTGCGCAGCTTGGCGCACAGGCACTCACTCGTTTTCTTGGGGCTGCGCCAAGATGGCTGAGATTAGTGATTCTCTCATTCGCGAGATATGCTAAAGCGGAAACTGCACTCCAACGCGTCTCCCTCGGACGCGTGCACGCGTGTGCAATCATGAGTCCTCTCAAGCTGCATGCATATATATAAACCTTGATCCAAGGCCATTGCTGTCGGCGCTTTCCTATCACCCGTACGGCCCAACCTCTTTATCGGCCCCCGTGTTCCCCCAAACTCCACTCGAGCTTTTTAACCCCAAGATGAGTCGTTTCCAGAATATGGCATAAAACCAAAAAGAAGTCTTAAATGGAGCCAACGTAAAGTACCGCTTTATCTCGTTTATAGATCCAATTGCTGATAATCAATATCGAACAACTCCTGGTCGATCACCATACCCAAAGACGGGGGTGCAGCCATGCAATTGGTGCAGATAAATCTGTCATTCATACTCTTGTTTATGCGGGCCGGGGTCCCGTGCTTCATTAAATATGTGCGTCCATTCGCGCCGAGGATGGGGAATGTGTCACTTTACAAAATAGAGGGATCTGCAAGCTGCATGGTGCTTAATCATGTGAGGAAATCAATCTTTCAACAAGCTTGACCTTTGAAAACTAATGCCTCAGAAACAAAGAATCTCAATCGAGAGAGAGTAGGGAGTTCATGCTTATTGTCATCAGTCTTTGGGCATAGACATCAACTGATGAATACCATTTAAGATTTAGAGTATGGAAGTCCAGACAAGCAACAGCCAAGATTGCTTCAACGGGTCCTACGCTTCTAGAAGTTCTTCCCCGGAAGTGAAAGTGGGATAAAGAGATCACTAACCGAAAAAAATCCCACCGCCAAGCTCCCCAGCCGAACTACCCGGCAGCCTGTAACCAGAAATGGGAATCGTACTTGTCCCGCTACAAGGTTATCGCCAGTGGTCAAAGTGGGTATCTCCCCTAATACCGCACACAAACTCCGAGATTTTTTTCTTCTATAAGAATGAGCTTTCTCGTTGCCGTTTTCGTTGTTTGTGCTGTTGTCGAGGAAGTATCAAGCTGCATACAATCAAGGCCGAGCAAAGACCTGATTGTAGCTCGATACCAAAGAAGTTGTCAGTCAGTACTTAATCAATCATGGCCGCTACTATTGCTGCTGCTACCGCTGCTACCGCTGCTGGTGAGGGGGGAAATGTTTTTCGGGATACTCAAGACCAGACAAACTTACTCTCCAAAAAACGTATCATTGTCATATTCTTAGCGTTGGCCATGACACTGTTCATCTCGACCGTAGACCAGACATCAGTATCAACCTCTCTGCCTGTGATTGGGAAGGACCTAGATGCAGTGTCAACGATATCATGGGTTAGTTATACCTGTGCTTCCTCTACTAATTACTACTCATCCAACATATTTCTTGGCAAGTTTACTGAATACGATCATGAGTACAGGTAGGAACCTCATTCCTCATCGCCAGCACAGCATTCCTCCTCATAAACAGCCGCATGTCCGATATCTTTGGCCGCAAAACCTGCCTCTTAATGTGTCTCGGCTTCCTTGCCGTCGGTGACCTTCTTTGCGGCTTTGCACAAACCAGCATCCAGCTCTTCGTCTTCCGTGCCCTCTCTGGGATCGGCGCCGGCGGCATAAACTCCCTCGTTATGGTTATCGTCAGTGATATCACCACGTTGAAGGAGCGCGGGAAGTATCAGGGATACCTGGAGACGTTCATAGCGCTCGGAAACGGCGTGGGGCCATTGATTGGCGGAGCGTTCTCAGAGAGTGTCAGTTGGCGATGGACATTCTGGTTGCCAGTGATACTGATTGCGGCTGCGACGGGTGTTGTGGTGATGATGGTGCCAAGGTCTACGGTAGAGGGCAGCTGGAGGGTCAAAGTGGGGCATATCGACTTTTGGGGGATTCTCCTGAGCTTGACAGCGGTACTATTTGTATTGGTATGTGTTGACCTTAATTGATGGAGTGAGTGAATCTTTAATTGTCTGAGAGCTGATGGTTGTTGGTCGATGGTGTAGATTCCTATCAGTGGTGGTGGGAGCACTTATAATTGGGATTCGCCATTAGTTATATCTTTCCTCGTAATCGGCGGAGTTGCTTCAATCCTGTTTGTAGCAGTAGAATGGAAAGTTGCAAAGGTTCCTGTTATGCCTAGTAAGTACAATTTACTCCACTAGTATTTCTGGAACAAATTGAGCCTGGATATTAGCAAGATATATGTACGCTTTATGGTTCAATATCTTACTCAATTGCATATACTCAATCTGTTCCAAGATCTTCATCTATTCCTACCCATATCACAATCCACTAATTACTCTTGTTAGTCCGTATATTCGAGATCCGCGCAGCCAAAATAATCCTCACGCATTTCATTCTTACTGGTATTGTCTACTGGGGAAATCTCTACTTCCTCCCACTATACTTCCAAAACGTTCGCGGTTACTCCCCCGTCATGTCCGGCGTCATGATCCTCCCATTGGTTCTAGCCTTCTCTATCGGATCCTCTTCATCCGGCGTCATCATCTCAAGAGTCGGCAAGTATAACGGTGTCCTTAGGACTGGATACGTCCTCTGGACTGCGGGCGCCGGAGGAAGGATCGCTCTGCACAGGAGCAGCCATGTGGCTGTTGTGGTGATCACGCTGATCATCGAGGGCATAGGGGTCGGGTGCTGCTTCCAGCCAGGTCAGTATACGCACAATATCCCGCAGACCAAACAGGGACTGGTACTGATGGGGGAAACTACATAACACAGGTATGATCGTGCTGTTAGCCAATTCCCGCAAGGAGGACCGCGCTGTTGCTACCGGGCTGAGAAATTTTATCCGCACTGTCGGCGGAGCTGTCGGACTTGCTGGTTAGTTATCTTCCCCCCCTTCTTTCCTCGCCGAATTGCAGGCTAACTCAATACCCCCAGCCTTCTCTGCAATCCTCAACAACGTCCTCCTTTCCAACATCCCCGACACCGTCTCTGCTGCAAGCGCACTACAGTTCACCACAGCCACAGGCCTAACGGACGCAGAGAAGAGCGCCGTGATAGACGCATACATGAAGGGCATTCACGTCATCATGTGTATCGGATGCCCATTAATCGGGTTCTGTCTACTAACGAGTTTCCTCATCAAAGATGTTGCGTTAGAGGGTAGGAAGGAGTCGGAGCCTGAAGCAGTGCTTGAGGATGATGATGGTGTACTGCCGCCGGGAGCGAGGGAGAAGGCAGACGAGAAGGTTTAGATAGATTGAATGAGATAGGAAGATGGTGCGTAATTTTTATGTGGTTGATGGGTGTAATTATAGATGGATGCTTAGTGCATGTATTATGTATTTAATTGCTAGCTGGGATCTACATGTATTTACGCGTAGCTTGAGTTTAATGTTGGCCAATCAAGTTTTCTAGTACTAGAATCGTTGTGTTACATAATATGCAGGCGGTCCTTTATATAATTATAAAAAGGAAAGTAGGAGGGCGGTATAGACAAAGTTGAAGTACTAAAGTTCTCGTTTTGGTGTCGTACTTCGTGCAGAGGAGTGGTCCAGAGCCACTGGTTATGTTTTTATTTTTAAAGTTATAACCCACCACGACAAAAGACTTACGCTCGCCAGGCTGCTTTCTTCTCATCCAAGGGTCCCAATCCAAGGTTGAGGGAGTCGGGGATCGAACTGCTAACCTCCCATCATCGGTACTAGTCGCTGAGTTACCATACTCTTTCCCAGTCCGGTCGGTTAGACTCAAAGTGTGAGATACGAAAGTATCTTAACCACTAGGCTGCTCTTACCACAAAGCTACAGGCCGTGATTTGGGCCTTTGAGCCTATGGTCTTTGCTTCAGGTTCGCCGCTAGCTTAGCACCACCGTATGCCCGCTAGGACGACGCGGTAGAGTGCATACAGGGTGACGTACGCATGTAGTCTCGTGCCCATCCTATATAGACAGCTCATTTCTCTCCACAAAACGTTGCTCCACACAGCGCATCTTTAATTCGGTTCGCAGGCGGGGACGGAGGAGGTGAGGAGCGAGTGATAGGTCATGATTCAGGTCTCCGTCGAAGGAGCCCATATAGACTTGACCGAGAGAAACGGGGGGCATGGTAACGTGTACAGTGGACTACGCTGACGCAGATAATCTGATCCTTGCACCCTTCTTAG